TTCAATACTTCGAACATTCTTTTTACATCGTGTTTCACAAAATTAATCTAACAACGTAAAATAGTTGATTTCTAAAAGAAATGTTCTAACATTTCACATGTTATAAACTTTCTGTCTGTGAAAACTACACTGGTGCAATAAATACAAAAAGTCGAACAACAAATCGATCTTAATCATGCATTTATGTCGTATTCCTCAAATGTGTTTAAAAAAGCTCAGTTTGAATAAACAGTACATACACATTGAATTTCTCATATAATTCAGAGAGAACTTGCTATAGTTGTCGGAATATTTATCAGCATAAACTCAATAGAAGAACTTAAATATCGCTTTGATTACATAGAAATAACTGATATAGGAAAAATTCATTCATGTATGCTTATATTTTATTTAACTTTTTTAACGTTGAAATGATGTTGAACATCCTATTAAAGACGTAGGTTTCCAAAACCAGAGTTTCTAAGTTCGCCAATTTCGAACTACTAACCGAGTAAAAAACTTTCATATTCATACGATTTTTCATCTGTCACATAGATACTATACAATTGAAAGAGATATGATTATACTCTTATACTTGCAAAATCATTTTTGTTAAGCAAAATTTCTTTTTATTTTTGATGCTACTAATAAGAAAACAACAATTCTACTGAAGAAACTGACCATATTATAGTTTGTTGTCTTTTCTTTCTTGATATTATCGTCTAGTGTCTACTAGGCATGAAATATAAAAGAAGGTACATTTTCTTTGTTATTTTTATATAAATATCATTACATTGAATACGCATCTCTCGCAAATGTCGCTCATTAACCAATCTTTTTTTAAATATGTCATCAACAAAATTCAGAATCCAACAAAGATGGAATTCATTAAATAGGTTTCTTTTATAAATTCTACACTATATTTATCGGATTACGGTCATGAGCATGACTAAGCACTTTACATCTTACATTTTTCAGTAGAAACAAAACTATTTCTGTAATGTCTGAATGATTTGAATTGAGCGAAACATTAGTTTCTAGCTACAACACAAAGGAAGCCAGAGAGACAAATAAAAATTTCACATAGATTGCATGAGAAGAGTATGCTTTAACTTAAGTTGGTCCACTCTTCGAGCTGCTTGAAAAGATCGGATAGTAGACTAACTACAGTTCCACTTACTTCCTCTAAAACTGGATACATGAAAGTTTCAAAAATCTCTATGGTTTCCTCCAAGTTTTCTATTGGAAACAAGATCAACATTTTGTAATATTCATATTCTTATATAGCTTATCGAACCGTATGAAATTCTCTAGAAAACAATATTTCGTTTCAAAACATTATATAATATTTTATTTTTTTTTAAAAATGTAAGATGTAAAATGTTTAGTGATGATCAATAGAACAACTACAGCTTTTCTTGATCTCCAATATATATATATGTATTCATATAGATGACGTCAATTTACAAATAGGTCTGAACATTTCTTTTTTGACCATTGTTTAGATTCATGAAAAATACTTGAAATCAAGAAACATTCACAAAGTGAAGATATCATGTAGTAATCCATAGCATCGAATATCTGTCTGCGTAAATGTTCTTATTGAACTTATTTAAGATAAAGTTAAAAAAATTATATTATTGATATTTAAAAGATTGGATAGTTTCGTTGTAAATTTTATTGTCATTCAATCGTTCATCTATCATTAGAGATTTGGACAAGAACTTGATGATCACCATCTGAGTTTATTTTAAGTAATCATTAAAGGGTCTGAATATTGAGCTTCAACAACATTATAGATCATTCGAGTCGCTGGTTATATTAAAATTACAATTTGCTCAATTTTGTTCTTACGATATAACTGTAGAAAGTTGTTTGTGCCAATGAACTTATGTAAACATCTTTTAGACTTTTCCACATAAAGAATTAAAAGAAAAGTGGAATTCTTTCACATTTGATAGAGATGATTTTTATAATTTACAAAGATTAGTTCATATTATTCACATAAGCATCTGCGCCTTATAATATTTTTCAAAAATTAGCATGTATAAATATAAATAATGCAAGCTACTGTGTAGTATATACAATTATCAAAGAAGAAATCGTTGCTTTAGCATTAATATTACTTTTCATTATATTAAAATTTACTCTAAAGTTAGCGATGAGAAAAATTTTCTTCCATACAGTTATTAAAAATTTTGATTTTAGATGAATTTTGACTTTAATTAATGTAAAACAGATAATACTAAATTTCTCGAGAAGGAATAAGCATATTTCTGTATGTCAGTTGTGCGGAGAATTATATACATGTTTACAAGCAGATGAGATAGTATGTACTGTAACTTGTGGACATTAGCCATATTCAGATCAAATCAAGAATCGTACCAGCAGAAAAATATGAACTGTTGATTATGTACACGAACTGAGATTTTCGAATTCTAAAGTATTGACAGTGAATGTAATGTATCAAAAATTCAAAATTTCAGCGTCATTTATTTATTTTTCTTCTCATTATGGTCAGATAGAGCTTGTTGATTTACATAAGACAAAGTATGTTTTACATATAGAAAACGAAACTTCATGAAAATCAGAATATCCACACTTGTTTGTCTTGATATGTGGGATTAATGATATAATAGATATTTTTCTATTATATGACTGAATGAGTTCTATTCGACCATGACGGACAGAGAAAAAAAGTCTTTCTCAAATTTTTAATTATAAACACAATGCAAACAATGAAAAATAGTTTAAATTCGAAAAGCTCAGTCCATACATATCATCAATAATTCATAATATAAATTTGTTGAATATAGAATTGTGTCATTCATCATTTGCTTTTCGTTTGACTATACTAGCATCATTCAAAGATTGTTATCTATTTAATATAACCAGTCATGCATGTGTTATGACACCTACTCTATCGTCAGTTCTTTTTTCTTTTTAATTGAAAAAAAAATAAGTAAATAAGATCAATGTACGCAACTGAGTCAAGAATATTCGTAGATGAATCAAATGAACAGAAGAATTTGATAACATATATTCGATTTATTCTCACTTGAATTCAGAGTTGCATGAAGTGTAATTTTATTTAAAATTTGAAATAATAACTTCAAACAAAAAAAAGAAGTTATTGCTTTATGTAGACTCAATTATGAAACTTGCTTTTTTTTTTTGTTTATTATTAATCATATTTTGATATCATTGATTGCATATTTTCATTATTTTTATCAGATATACTATGTTTGTTTTTTGATACTACAAATAATGACGTTTATATTATATCTTGATGTCGCGACTCGAAGCATTCATACATCTTGGTATATAAGCAACGATAGGGTCGTCCATCCATAAACATATCTATTAACATACAGGTGTCCTATTCTGACAAATTGTTTTTTGTTGTGCATCCCAATCAAACACTAATTGAAAATATTTATTTATATCAATGTACTTATTCAAGCTAGACTTTTTATCTTTTATAAATATAGTTTTGTTTGGGGATCTAACATTTTATCCAATTATGATGCGTCCAAAACGACGATCAAATCACCATCATGATAAGCGATTTAGCTATAACTCTCGACATCGATATCCATATCCACCAGCATTTTATCCAGATATGAGTATGAATCCTCTACGATCACGTAGACAAAGTATGTTAATAACAATAAAAGTAAGAATGCAACAAAAATTGTTCTTTGTTTTTTTTAGGCTCTAGTTCGTACTCAAGGCTTAACGAGTTCAAATTTCCATGCTGAAATGCTAAAATTACATAACTACTATCGTGCACGTCATTGTGCATCATCACTTGTTATAGATCATCGATTGAATGAAATAGCTCAATCATATGCTGAATATTTAGCAGCTACATCAACATTCGAACATAGTGGAAATAAACTTGGAAATGAACCATGAGGAGAAAATCTATATATGCAATCGATATCTTATGGTCGAGCAAAAACGTCTGCCAAAGAAGCAGTTAAAAGTTGGTATGATGAAGTAGCAATGTATAATTTTCAGCGTCCAACATTTTCACCAAAAACCGGTCATTTCACACAATTAGTATGGAAATCATCGAGAAAATTGGGTGTTGGAATAGCTTAATCACCTAATGGACGTGAAGTTTATGTTGTAACAAATTATTATCCAGCTGGAAATATTATGGGTCCAGGACTTTTTGAAAAGAATGTTTTACCATCAAATTGCTAAGTGAATCGGGTTTTCTTTTTTTTTTTTTAAATAAAAAGCATACACTGAGAAACACAAGAATTTTACAATATACATTATTATAAATTGCAAGAAGTATTAAGAAATAAAATGATTGGCATAGAGTTTATACAAATGTTTGTATGCTTAAAATAGAAATTCGTTCAATAAACAACGAACTAAAAAAAAATCGATTTTTTTTAATGATAAAAGTGAAATATTGAAAGAAAATTAGATGATAATAAATCAAAGAAGATATAACACTGAATATCTTCAGCAGTGTATTGTAAATCAAGATAACAAATGTTAATTCGAAATGTATTTTTTTTTCTTTTCTTTCGAAAATGCGTTCGTACAAGCTGTGTGTGACTAACATGTGAAAGACAAAATGTTGTTGAACTTGCATATGACAAGAAATTATTTTACTCTATCTATTTTCAGATACATTTCTTCACCATTGTTTTATTTAATCCTTCAGAAATGCAATAAGAAAATAGTTCATACATTAGGATACGACGTTATTGGTATGCGATTTGTGATCGTCTATCAAGCACGGAGAGCCAAGCTTTTACCACGATACTTCAACACTCTTTTTAGATCGTGTTTCATAAAATTAATTCAACGAAATAAATAGTCGTCTTCTAAGAGACTGCTCTTGCATCGGGCTTGATATCATATTTTTACGAATAGTACACTGATACAATGAATACAAAAAAATCGAAGAATAAACCGATTCCTATCGTGAATTTATGTTTGATTTATCAGATGTGCTAAGAAAAGTTGAGATTCATTAAACAGTACATCTATATCAAATTTCTCATAGCATTTAGATATACTTCGATGCAGTTATCAGAATATTTATCAGCATGAAAGTCATAGAAGAACCTGAACTTCGTTTTGGATACAGAAATAACTAATATAGGAGGTTCATTAATATATGCCTAGATTTTGACTCTTTTAATGTTGAAACAATACCAAGACAGAAGGGCGGTAATAGAGGAAATTTTTTTCCGATGAATTTTCTATCAAAGACGGACGTCGTCGGAATCAGAGAGTTTCAAATTTCGCAAACTTCGAACTAATAACCGATTAAAGAACTTTCATGATTAAACAAGCTTTCATCTTTCGAATAGATGTTTTCTACAATTGAAAGACACATGAGTATACTCTTCTTATGTTAGCAACAACATCTTTGTTAAGCGGTTTTTTTTTAAATGCTACTGAAAAGAAAATAATAATTTTACTGAAGAATCCTGCCATGTTATTGTTTGCTGTCTTTTGTTTCTTCATATTGTCTTCTATATTGTCTACTAGACATGAAACATAAAAGGAGACATACTTTTGTCGTCATTTTCCTATAAACATCCTTACATTGCATGCTTATTTCTTAAATGTCATCATCAAACTCAGAATACAACAAAGATCAAATTTGTTGAATAGATTTCTCTTATAAATTCTATACCATATTTATCGAATTAGGATCATGTCTTAATATTAATAAAAGATGTGGTATTTGGTATTTGACTCAAATAATCAACACTATGTAGTTTCGTTTTTTTATATTTGTCTAAAACTATTTACAAATTTTCATGTCATTTTAGTTTTTTTTTTTACTTGAATAAATTCATCAAAAATACCTGAAATCAAGAAAAAAAGCACAAGTAAATATCTCATTTGATTGATATTTCAAAGTTTGGTTACTTTCGGTAGAGATGTTACTTTGATTTATCAGTTTGCTTTTCTATTAGGGATGTCTGCAAGATCATACACTGATCATCATTTGAAATTACTGAAAGCAATCATTGAATGAATTGAATATTGATATTCAGTATCATTAGTGATGATTTGAGTTGTTGGTAATGGACTAACCTTTCATTTATATTTTTTTTCTTACATTGTAGCTTTAGAAAGTTCTTTGTTTCATTGAAGTTATGTAAATGTAATTTACAATTTTCGAGATAAAAAATGTACGAGAAAAACGAAATTCTTCTTTAGTAAATCTATAGTCTTATTCAACATTTATAATTATGTATGATTGTTATATTAATATTATACGATTCACTATTTTAAAAACTGCTGTATAAGATATGTCACTAGTAGTTCTTCACTTCATCGATGAAATTGATTGATCAATATTATTGAAAACTAAAGTAAGTAAAGGATGTTTCATTTTATAACAGATAAATACTAGCACAGCAATTTTACATCATTAACAATGATATCTCGTTTTATAACTTGTTTCTTTCGTAATAAAATAAATCTTTTTTTTTAATACTTGTTTATTCAACACCATGAATTCGTTCATTAGGTATCATTGAGTCAATATGAAATTCATATTAAAGTATATCGAACGTTGCAGCAAAACAAGTTAAATTTAGTCATAATGTAACTAAATGATATAGAAATTATTTTTGCAGTAATTGAACTCATTGGAGCAATTCTGTAACGATGACGGCTAGAATCATATGTCAAGTGTTTCTATTCATGAAACTATGGTTGACGAATGTCATACTTTCTACATATAGCATTTTCAAAAAAAGTTAACTTTCATTTCATTATGATCATTTGTTCAATCTTTAGTACATTATAGATTTATTTTAATTCAAATTCGATTTATATAATGTAGTATCTTATTTACAGGTGGTCTCATAGAAACTAAGTAATCATTGATACAAGTAACTACTCAACGTATTAACATTGTTGGTATAATGTTCTGCATTTTAATAACTTTGAAGAATGTCATACAGTGCTCTATATGTTGAAAGCAGTGTCTATGTCATATTAGTTTGAGCATATTAGATTCAATAAAAATAAGTAAACGTTGATGAAATTGAATATTTCTCATAGATAAAAATGAAACAAGCATTGACTCATAATTGATAGTTCGATTACTATTATTATCTATGAAGGAGTTAGTTATGAAACTATAAAATAGAGACATAGAATCTTTTTGTTTTGACTTTTCTTCATATCTAAAACAAAATAATATCAAAACAACCGATTATTTGATTTTAAACTTAGTTTTTATCAAATGAATATTCTTTTTTCAATTTGTGAATTAGATTGTTTAATTAATGGAAACATAATTTCATGTAATGATTTTTTGTAAAAAACAAATGAATCAACAAAAAAGAAAAAAGCCTAAAACGAACAAAACAAGCAAAATATTTACTTGTTATTAGTGTTGACAATTTTGTGGATAGTCATTTGTTCTTGAAAAAAAATAAGCACTAGGTTTACCACATAATGTTGAAGAAAAAAAAAGAAATCCATCAATAACATGTCATAATTGAAAATCAGTTCGTGAAACAAGAGCAGCATTTAGTACATTACTATGATGATGATTATGTAATAGTGCTTTAGATTGATGAAATGTCTGAAAAAATTTATTTATTTACAATAATTTAAATTAGATTTACAAGAGCTAATTCTAATATTCTTTTCTCTTTTGAAGAATTGTTAATTATGAAACTATCTCAAGGACCTTTTTAAATGGATCTTTTGTATCATAATGTTTGTAAATTAGTAATACAAAAAAAATAAATCGTTTCAAATCATTTGCAGTTTAAAATGAGAGAAGACGAAATTCGCAACTTGCATACAAAAGAACTGTGCAAACGTTTATCTCTATCGAAATGAAACCTTTTATAAGAAGCGATTCCAATCTACTTTACCGAAGCAAAAATGTTTCACAAAAAAACAGTGTTACATTGCGAACTTCTCTACTTATAGCTCTTCTGTACTTGTAATGAGGCATGGCAGCTTCAATCTATTGACGATGTATCATCCAATGTTTACATGTACAAACTTCAATGTTTCCTCAAAAATCATTTTCTAAGTCTACTAGACTCAATCCATCGATTTGATGGAGGAAGAAACGTATTTGAGGCTACCCTAGTCTACGAAACATGAATCTATGGTAAAATTTTATTTTTCCAAACTTTCCGACTCCGTCACCTACGTTTATTACACACGAATTGATAGTCAATAAAATATGGACTAACCTTGAAACAAGGCATCACCAGACAGAAGGAAACAAAAATAAAATATTAATGGAAAATTTTCACAATAACTAGAGGATATGTAAGTCTTTATCTGTGCTGGTGTTAGCCTACTCAGATCTCATAGCTTCGCCAGCTATAATATACAGAGGAAAATAAAGAAACGTCATATATTTTCTTCTACGAAAATTACGTCCAATTTATTTATTCAAAAACTACAAGCAATATTTTCCTTGAATTGAGATTGAGCTTGAAATAAAAGTGCGCGCGTTGTTGCTCATGAACATTAGACATATTCTGATCAAATTAAAAATTGTGATGTACCAAACGTCGAAATTTCAGCAAGATTCTTGTTTTCTTTTCTTCATGGTTGGCTAGAGCTTGTTGAGTTACATAAAAAAAACATGTTTTACTTATAGAAAAAGAAAATTTATAAGATTCATACTTTTCACACTCGTTTCGTTCGAAATGTAAAATTAATGGTGTTATGGACTTTCCTCTTTAAATGTTTTACTTTTGTATTGGAAATATAATTTCTATCACATGTAACATAATATGGTTTATTCAACCATGGTAAAAAAAGAAAAACCTTGGTCGTAATTTGAAATATCGACACATTGTAATTAACCAAAATGCTTTAAATTCGAGCATGTCAGTTCGTGCACATCATTAGCCACTCATGTTTTAAATTTCGTAGTTAGTCGATGAAAACTTTAGTTTACTGTGAATATATTCAATGTCTTGAGTTACAATAGATATTTTTCTATTGTTGGATTCATTTATTGTTTATTACATTGTATTATTTATCATTTGCATGTCTTTAGACTGTTTTTTTTCTTATTCAAGGACTCTTATCAATCTTATATGACTAGTCATGCGTGTCCTACGACGTCCATTGCTTGATCAGTTTATTTTTTCTAATCAAATATGCTATTTAATTCGTTTGAATTCAAACTTTTCAAAATTATTACTTCTCTTTAAATTGGAAATAGTAACCTTAAATGAAGAAAGTAAGTTTCGTTTAATGTAAATACAATTACGACGTTTGTTTGTTTTTGTTTAGTTATTATTCATATATTTATGCAGTTTTTGAAGTTACACATAGTGATGCATATATTGTATCTCAATGTCACGATTCAAATCATTTACATACAATGTTATATAAGCGACGCGAAAACCACAAATCTATGTAAATATCTATTAACGTACAGGTGTACTATCTTGGTGGATTGTTTTTACTGTACATTTAAATTAAACCTTGGTTGAAAATATTCACTATATCAATGTAAATATTTGTTCGAGAGTTTTTCTTGCATCAATATATCTTTGTTTAGGGATCCAAGATTTTATAAATTTATGGCATATCCAACACGACACTCGGGTCATCATCATTATTATAATGGACGATCGTTTCCTCAACCTCGACATCGTTATCAACATCCACAAATGTATTCTGTAGATATGTATGGAAGACATCATCGACGACATCGACATCGTATGTTAACGAGAACATAAAAATCAAAACAAATATTGTTCTATTTTTAAAGAGAGGAGTCATCGTCATCGTTCATCAAATTCAAAGTTTGAAGCTGAAATGCTAAAATTACATAACTATCATCGTGCACGTCATTGTGCACCACCACTTGTTATTGATCAACGATTGAATCAAATAGCTCAATCATATGCTGAATATTTAGCAGCTACATCAACATTCGAACATAGTGGAAATAAACTTGGAAATGAAGCATTAGGAGAAAATCTATACATGCAATGGATATCTCATGGTGAAGCACAAGCTTCTGCAAGAGATGCAATACAAAGTTGGTATGGTGAAATAGCAATGCATAATTTTGACAAACCAAAATATTCATCAGAAACCGGTCATTTCACACAAATGGTATGGAGATCATCGAGAAAAATGGGTGTTGGAATAGCTCACTCACCAGATGGACGTGAAGTTTATATTGTAGCAAATTATTATCCTGGTGGAAATATTGTTAATCCAGGATTTTTTGAAGATAATGTTTTACCACCAAATTGTTAAATGAAAGGAATTTTTCCTTTTTCCAAAAAACAAACATTCACTTATGAAAAAATAACCTTAAAATAAATATTAGTAATCTGCAAGAAGTATTAATAAATAAAATAATTAACGACATACATAATTGTCTTGTAAGAAAGTGTTCTAATATTGAACATGTGATTAAATTTCTATGAAGAGAAAACTAGTGTAAAGAATACAAAAACTCGAACAACAAATATCTAATAATATGTAGATTGAATTTGATTTGGTCATCGAAGTAACAGAAGAAGTTAACTTCGTTATCAATACATAGAAATATCTGGTATACGATCCATTTATGTATGTTTGTTCTTTTTTTAAAGCTTTTTAACGTTAAAACGATATGATTACAGAATGTTTGTAATAATGGAAACCATCGCTTTTTTTATGAAGTTTCTATGAATGACTGAAATCATCGAAGCTAGAGTTTTTGATTTCATAACTTTCGAATAAATAGTATATGATTGAAAGTGTAACATGTATATTCTTATACTGGGATAAACATTTTGATACACAAAGTTTTCTTTTTTTTTTTGCTTCTGAAAAAGCAAACAATAATTCAAGTAAAAAACGTTTCTAAGACATTGTCTGTTGTTTTCTTGCTTTTGAATATTGCTATGCATGTTCTCTTTTTTTTTGTTTTTACTTCTTTGATGCCTTGTTCAGTTGTCAATTATGTAACTACAATAGCAGATCATGTATTCACTGTGAAAGTAGATACATTGTATACTTTCTACAAGACATAAAACAAAAAAAGAAGACACATCTTTGACGTCATTTTCATATAAACATACATCCTTGCATTGTATGCATATCCTTACTAACTATCGTTCATTCTTAAATCGCTTTTTTTAACCGCATTATTCGGTTCAGAATGCAACAAAGATCAAGTTTATTGAATAGTTTTTTCTAACTAATTCTATACTACATTTATCGAATTAGGAATATGTCTTTAAGTTATTAACAGATATTGTATTTGTTATGTTGACAAAAATCGATGAAGACAAAATCTTTCTATATGATTAAAGTAGTGGCTACATTGCTGATCATTGAAAAAGTTAATGTAAAATCATGATTACTCGTATGTCGTAAAAAATAAGTGATTAAATCAAATTTTATCGTGATTACGATATTAGAGACAAATTTTCGGCAATCGATAATAAATCGAACTGAGTAACATTTTGCGAATTGCTAATTAATCAGAGAAAAATTCGAGCTCTTTAATATTGAGGATCATGTGTATGATCTCTACTCATTTTCAAAATATTATCATAAGAATTTGAAACCAAAAGAAAAATTTTGTTCCAATATAGACGTCACTACTATATCATTTACGAGATTGTACGATTGTAGAAAACGATCATATTGAGCTTCGTATAGACATTCATTTATATGGAAAGATATTTTTTGATTAATATGTGTAATTTCAGAGCAAAATAAATATTGCATGCGAGATTAGCACAAAAAAGTACATCATATCATAATCATTTCACTATAAACAGACTTTTTGCTCAATAAAAAAACGATATTATTTCCCTCAACAATTTTCTTCTCAAATTTTGCCTGTTACTCACTCGGAATTTATTCTATTAAAAATTAATTTATGCTGACATATGCATGATATGATGTAATTACTTTTTTTATATTAACTTCGAATACGATATTTATTTTGATCTGAAGTTGAAATTAGATTAAAGTTTAATGTGACAATGTCGATATTCTTCAATGGAAATGAGCCTTAGCATAGAATAGATTTTTCTGTAAACTATATAGATTTATAGAATATCAGACGACATAGTTTTTTATCATAAAGATTTTTAGCAGTACTTTCGTTTTTAGATACAATAGTGCTCTACAAAATTATCTATCGTATCCATTAAACCCTGTATCATCTGAGAGAGAAAACAAAAGTCAACATGATCACTATTCATACTAAGTTTATAAAAGAAAAACTTGTAGGTACCACAGTTATAAATGTTCTATCTTTCTAGCTCATTGAATATGAAATCTAGGAAGATGGCCAATTTACGGCCTTATTCGATGGTATCCTTTATCTAACAATAGAAGGACGTGTATCATACATCGAGAACATTCAATATTTTTCGATCAAAATAAAGTTCCCATCAGTGAGCTAACAAATTTAAAATAGAAATTTTTAATGACATGTACAAAGCTGAGATATACGAATTTTAGACTATGTACATTAGTTTTTATGTACGAACAAATACAGAGAGCAATAGTGTGAAAGTTTTGAGTCTCATAAACTTTTTTTTTACTAAGAAAAGAAAAAACTAAATTTTAGTACATTAAATCTACTGTAAATACTTGAACATTCGAATATCTTAGTCCATGTACATTATCAACAGGTTTTATATTTTCTCGTGTAAGATTTTTAATGTGACCCGTATATATCCAATGCCCTCGAGTTCCAGTACACGTCTTTTTATTTCATGTTGAATCTTGATTCGACGAAAATGTCTTTTCGTTCTTTTAAGAAACAAATTCGCCGTAATTCTCTTAGAAGAAAATATAGGGAGGTATTGTCTTTATCTTATTCTTTATGTACATACATATATATATCGATGTACGACTAAACTTTCTTTAATTATTTCCATTTCGTCGAATATTTACATAGATTCAAATACAATGACTGAAGTAAAAGATTACTTTATTCAAAGTTTTTCTTTTTGTTTCATTATATATTTATTTTTTTAATAATTATGTAAAGACTACAATTATTACGACACAAGTTCGTTCAGATTCAGATGATTTTGATATTCGTCGAGAATTTTGTGGCTTTCAAGTATGAATCAGTTAATAGTTTCTTTTGTTTTGTCTAATTTATTTTATTATTTAATAGGATAAACGTTTAAATGATTTAAGACAATTTACATCTTGTATTATTGATTTACAAACACATGGTACAAAAGATCCATTTGAAAAAGTTACTTGGGTAATTTCGTAAGTAACAATTCTTCAAGAAAAACAAAAAAAACAATATAAGAATTTATTTTTTATAAATTTTAGACATTATGATGAAACAGTTCGAGCTTTTGTTGTTAAACGTATTCAATCATGGGCTCAAACTACACAAATAACTGCTCATATGCATACAGAAGATATAGCATTTCATCAACGTTTGTAGTTTTATTTTATTTTATATTATTTTGTACATAAATAAATTTTTTCAGATATATCATCAGATTCATCATCATGTTCAATTGATGGTAAAGTACAACAACTTGGAAATTCAGTAAAATCATCTCCATCACCACCAACAAATTCTGTTCCATTAATGTTTAATAAAACTGTTAAAACACCATTACATAATCATCATCATCATAATGTACCAAATGCTGCTCTTGTTCCACAAACTGATATTCAATTACGACATCAACCACGTCGTCGTCGAAATTCATCATCAAGTAGTTCAGGAATACGTCGACCAGGTTTAGTTTTAGTTTATTATTATTCATTCATATATGTTATTAATGAATGTCTTTTTTTTCTTCTTCTTTTGTTCAGCATTATTTGGTAAACCTAGTGATTATTTTTTTTCACGAACAAATGAATATCCACAAAGTTGTCATTCACCATTATCAACACCAATAACAAGTAAATATTTTGCTTAATCTATTCGTTGTAGATTATTTTTCATAAATTGATTCTTTGTTTGTTTGTTTTTTTAAAGAAATCAAGATTAATGAGACAATGAAATTATTGAATGAAGATGGTCTTTCATTAATTAAACAATCTAATTCACAAATTGAAAAAGAATACTCATTTGGTAAAAATTAATTTTAAAAATCAAATAAATTTTTGCTTTTTCTTTTTAATATTATTTTGTTGTAGATAAGAACAAAATTCAAAACAAAGAGAATAATTCAGATAATGATAGTAAGTAGAATAACAAATATACTAACAAGAAAATATTCTCAAGTAAAATAATGCTCTTCATATATCTACATTTAAATCATAGTAAAACTAAAATTACTTTAACAGATGTTCGATCTTTCTGTTGAAATATAAATTTTACATAAGTCTTTTAATATTGACACAAACATTTATAGAGAGGTTTATTAGAAAATAAATTTAGATATGAGAAGAATCATACAGAGGAAACTAAACTATACTGAATTAATATATCTTTTATCATCAAATTGTAAATTTGATATTATTAAGAAAACAATTCATACAGCGATCAGAACAGTTTTTTTTTATTTTATTGATGGTGAGATAGAGGCGCATGTCCTTTCATTGTAATGAGCTAAGTCGTGTTAATAGATGTTGATTGTACTTGGATAGACAAACAATTTATTAGGTATAGTAAAATGTTACTTATACAAAAGTTCATCGATCTTATTCTTGAGATATTGTCATAGAGAAATATATTTTTCAACAAACATTCAAGAACTACTATGATGTTATTTTAGAATATGATGATACTAATTTTGAAGAAGAAGCTAAATGGGCAAATCTTCTTTCTGATACAAGTGATTTTGAAGGGTAAAAATTTCTTTTTTTATAACATTCTATTTTGATTGTTAATATAAATTTATAGTGATAGTCATCCATTAATGGCTGATATTATACTTGTTTCTCAATTACGTGATTGTCTTGTTAATTCTCAAGTTTCACCAACAGATGATATTGAATATATACAATCACTTATAACTTCACCTTTATTAATTACTTGTAATGAACAATTAAAAACATTAAATAATAAATATATTTGGTTTTATCGACTTATACTTAATTCGAAAATTATATTATCTAATGGTATACATAAATCACGACGACAAGCACAAAAATTAGCCTATATAAAAATGATTGAATTAATGACAAATAAACAAGGTGTTGAACCAAAAATAATTTCTAATGGACGATGTAAAGTAGTAATTCGAAAATCTATTCCACCTAAAAATCTTAATGAAACAACAACCATGATTGATTCAATAATGAATAATACTACGGATGTTTATTAATATAGTCGTTCGTTATACTGTATATAAATTAATAGCAAGTATTTCATTTGAACTGTCAGTTATTTTCTAAGTATATTCAAATCAAAAAAAAAATTTTTTTCTTTTTTTCTTTATTTTTGAAACTCTGTAATATGCATATTAGAATAGAATGTATTTTTCTTTGTAGAATTTTTTTTTTCTTCTCTTGAATTGATAATTAATAAAAAATAAAGAGCCTTCAGTATATCAACATAGCTGTTTTAAATTCTTTCAGAATTTGATCGATAAATCTGACCATTTCTCAATCAACTGATGTAGTATATTTTTGTATTATTGAATTAAAAATATCGAACATCCATTGAAACAATCATATCCTGTGAAAAAATTACGTTCTACAGATTGATGTCAACTGTTGATCCTTTGTACGCATATAACAGCAGGAAATTAATAGTTTTCAGTAGAAAGAATAATAGAATCAAGAATCATTGGCGAAGTTCAATTGAATAATTCGATGTTCCAACATCAATATACAACTCTTAGACAATGTCGGACTTTCGAATTTTACACAGACAAAATAGAATAGTCAACTGTTTACGATACATCAAAGAATCAGTTTTATGAATCATTTGAACAACAAAATTCAATGGAATTTCTAGCTATAGAATATGTTGGTATTGATTCTTTCGAAACTTTTATTCCTTCACTATATGAATAAATCCATAAAATTGAACTTGATGGCGACAGAGAGGTGGCTTCTAAATAATGCCTTCCAAGATGATAGAAATGTTTTTTGAAATAAATCAGATAATGTATTCTCGCACATATGTTTCGTCGTATTGCTTTTAAACAATAAATATAGAAATCCGACAGGTTGTATCCACTGGAAAAGAATTGATGTTTACTTTCATTTCTGATCATTTTTAAATCGAATAATATCTAATTTCAGCTGCTTCTTTCATGGGATTCTATTGAAAAGAAAACAATAATTAGTGCGATCTAAAAAACTTGAAGACGATTACATTTAGAAATGGCATCAACAATAAAATCAACTGTTACATCCACATTTCGATAAAACATACATCATAGTTACTTTATCAGGATTTGTCTGTGATATTGTTTTACATGGTTTTTCGACGACAAAAAGTATTTTGACTTGTTATAACATTATTTTTAGAGAATTTAATAGTGATAACGATGCTGGCAATAATGGTATCAGTTGAAACTATTCCTATTAAGCATATAAATTTGTTAGATTTAATTGAACAACTAAGTGTGCTAAATTTGATTAAGACCAATACTAGTGATTTATCTTATGCTCCTATTGTTCAAATGTCAAAGCGAGAAATCTTAATCAGTGGCGTAGCAAAGGGTACGGCCATTAGACGATAGACTACAAACTCAAAAGCAATAGCTCATGATTTCTTTTGCAATAGTACTAATATCCCAATGATGAAAATCTTGATACACATATTTGTACAAAGAGCTGAGTATAGTCATTTTAACACATTGTATTTTTTTGTGATCTAACGAAACGATCCAGAGAGACCAACTGACTAATTTCGCTCATTAAATCAATGCTTACAATAATGTGTATTTGATGGTTTTTCTTTTTCAAAATACTCATTATTCCACTGAAGTTTGCCAATGGTTTATTTATGCTTAGTTACTTTTTTTGACGCAATATATTCAAATATTTGAAAATTGAAGAGTATATTTGTGGAACAGGACACAATAAGTGAACGAGCTTGCCTCTTAGTTGAGAGTAACGAACTTCTAGTAGTTTAGCTGAAAACAGCCTATGAATTATAAACTCCTAGCTAAACCACTGGAAATAAGCTTTGCTTTGTAGACCACAGAGCTTTTCACGCTAAACCTTTTTGTATATTTTGTTCTTTTAATGATGCACATCAAGTAATGAAAAATAGAATGCAAAGCATGACCATTCATTATTGGTCACTCGGTATTTAGCTAGCACTGATGTCCCTATAACAACGGTTACACAAACTCTTATCAACGAGACAGTAAATTAAATCAATTATATTCATTTATAATCATAACAATTTAAGTTTTATTTAAAATACAAGAGTGATGAACACATTTTTAACTTCAACAATCGATCTTTGATACAATGAAAATTTCGAAAGATGATAGCATATATTCGATCTAATCACTGTTGCTACTGAAACTCATTTCCACTATCTCAGAAAAAGAACAGTTCTTATTCAAAAATCCTCATTTTATGAAGCGAATTGAAAACAAACAAAATTTCATATCAAAATTTTCGAAAAAGAATTGATCATTGAAAAGTATAGAACTTTGTAACAATGTTTAAACGAAAATCATGCGGCTCTCCGATTTCAAGATTATCGTAACACATAATAGGAATTTCGAGTATGTGTAGAGAAAGTAATAAAAACGCACCAACGGGTATAATACAGTACTTTGCATGGTAAATAAGTTGATTAAATATTGAGTATAAGGTCTTATATAGTCTTGTATTTTTTATTAACATTAATCGATCTCCAATTAGTAAAGTTTTGTTTTTCGTAGTATATGATTCATATATAATTACTATATGAAGAAAGATTTTATGTTAAAAAAAGAAAAAGACGGACAACTCCAACTCTGAACTAGACGTACATTCTATGAATAATAAGATGAAATTGAGTGAATTTAAATTGACGTCAGTTTAGAATGACATATACAGTCGAGGAGTTAAAGTTGGAGAAACACATAGCTAGTTATAGTTGACCATCTCTGATGTTGTGTAAGATATACGAGATAATGCGTTACTTCGCCGCAACCATACACACAGTTTGCTGACATAATGTTCTTCAACCGTTCATAACTGGTGCTTGTATTGAACTTTTTTTACAACAAGGTTTAAATCTTCTAAATTTTTCTCGTAAATTGCCGAGTGATCCAAGACATACAAATGGTAAAAATATTAATAAAAAATAATATAAATAAAACAAATACAGATCATGTTCAACAACAGCAAATGTCTTTAAACAACATTGTTGAATAAAAATAATAATAAATAATGGTATATTTATAATAATATATAGACAAGTAATTGATAGTAATTGTATAATCATTCGACGTTGTTTTCTCCATGAAAATAATTTTCGTTGTAAACGACGTTTTTGTTTTATAACTCGAATTAATAAAGCTAAACTAAATGTTACTATAAATGCACATGGTAATACACTATGCATTAACATATCATACCAATTCAATATATATGATTCACGTTTAAAACATGGTGAACCACAAAGTATTATATGAAAATGTACTACATCATTTTCACATATATAAAAAGGTATTGTATAAATATAGAAAATAAATGGATAAATTAAACAAAATATAATTGGTAAATAATGAGCAAGAATAATTTTATATGATGAACGAAAATATTGTGAAGCAAAAACAAGAATATGTCGTTCAAATGATGCCCATGTTGTTAAAAGCATTCCACTTGCATATAATGAATAATCAATATACATCCAAAACAAACAAAATGATACTGATTGAGGATTAACAATACCTTCACGTAGATAATTAAGTGTTAATGAAAGATCAATTGTAATAGATAAAATACTAACAATAAGCATTGCTATTATAACATGATTAGCTAATGCACGACGATATATTTGTAAAGTAAACATATTATATAAAACAAAAATAGAACATAGAATCGATGGAATTTGAAAAACAAGTAAAATCCAAAATTTAATTGAACGACTTAATGATGTTTCTGATATTGCCATAGATGATGATAATATATTGACAATCTGTTAGGAAAAAAAGTTTACATCATATTTTAATTGTTTTGAATTGATTTTTTTCTGTGGACATTTACTAAAGAGTTCAAAATGATGTGAAAACAAGCATTTTCATCAGTAAATTTTTTTCTTTTGATTTCTAAAATATGGTGACTTTCACATTACTTTTTTTTTTCTGGACTTTTTAATAAATAAACAGGCATAAAAATCCATTGTTATGTATGACTTATTTCAGTCAAAGCTTTTCAATACTACTTGATTAAAAACTATTTTACTTAATGAGTTATCCTTTAAGAATAAAATGAGAAAATATTTGTATATGTTTTTTCTTTCTAACATTATATAAATAATATTTTCTCAAATATTCTTGACAGAAAACATAAACAAAATTAATTCAATAATCAAGATGGCTAATTATGGTAAAACTGTTAATCATTTGGATGGAAATATTGTCATTATTGTTCAAATAAAACATGTGTCAAAAACGAGGGAGAAAAATGGCAACGTGTCCGTTTCTTCAGAATCAGCGTCAAGTTCGAGTTTTCTCTTCCATGACATCATATTAGTGTCATTCTGTTCTGTTGGCATATCACGCTGTTTCAATTGTGCAAATCTTCACTCATGCCTCATGTGATCTGTGCTCATTGTTTTATATTGTTAAATGTATGTGTTTTACTTTAATTGCTTTCTTTCCTGATAAAAATTTCTTTTAATAAGCACTATTTTCCTTTAGACTCTATCATGATATAGAGAATTAAATAAAACACAAAAATTTTTCAATATCCATAGCTTATATAAATGAAAATTAAATATTATTTGACTATTCCTTTTGACAATATTGATTATGACAAAAACTGTACAATATTTTTCATTTTTGCTTTTGCAAATATTTAAACAAAGCAATAATAAATAATCCTTAGTATCCTCTCAGATGATACAGAGTTCAATTCTCTATATAGACTTCTATTAATTTTAAATTAAAACTATGAGATAAAAAAAAAAAAACTACAAGTTTGGCTGATTTGATTCATGTAATGGTACGTACTTTTCATACAAATTTTAATAATATATTATAATTGTTTCAAGAATATTTAGTTTTCGTAATAAGTAATCTACAAAAACCATCTACGAACAGATCAAACTCATTTTAGAGGAGTTTTCGAATAATTACAGAGTGATAGAATGTTGCAAACCTTTTACCACGCTCGGCGTGTATATCTTAAATTTAAATGAAATACTTCTAAGAAAAAATTGCTTTTACTTCAAAGTTTAATCAAAAAGATTTGCATATTCAGTATGCATGAATTCATAAATATATTCATTTAATTAAGAAAGAATGATTTATTAACATGATTATTTTTATTATAATTTCGCAGAAAATCTAACTATCTATATATATGTTTATTTGTATATAGATTCGTTAGAAAACATTATCAGCATGTATATGAGATGATATTATCTAGATAAACAGAAGAACTTCCTATCTCTAAAAGGCATTTTCTTATCTTGATATCGAATAAAAACAGGAGAAGATGTCGTTGATTCTATCTTTTTGTTTGTTTTATTACTTTAATAGACAAGTTGAGAGATGAAATCGTGTAAAAAAATTTTTTGAAGAAGATTCGTTTTAACGTTTATTTTTTTTTTCGCTATGATTTTATTTAATATAAGTAATGTCTGTCTCAATAAATTCTAATTTTAAAAAAATAGGCATCAAAAGATTTACGATCTACTTTTAGAGAGAATTTTCATAAAGTTCAAAACACTTTATAGAAATATTTTAATACAAAATTCAAATGTATATCCTCACTTTTTGTATTAAGATCAAAGTAATATCTATAGATAGTTTTCAGCATCACTATTTGTTTATTATTTTTATAAATATCGACAATCAATCTCTGACATTATTATTATAAATGTGTTGTAATTGTCAAAGTAGTATTTATATAATAAACGGTTAGAAATATTTTATAAAAGAAATCATTTGCTAAATCACACACATTAATCTTCTAATTATTTTTTGTATCAGCATCATAGAATTTACCACTTTCATTGTACTATCCCATGAGAATAAAATCACTCCTAGTAATTGACTAGAGCCATGAATAGAATGATATTTTGAATGCAAAAATAAAACACAAAAATAGGCTTCTGAATAGTAGATATTAATGTTCCAAAATTCGCGAATTCTAAAGGGTATAGTGAAGTATTTCGACCAAAAGTATGCATAAAAATACGTACACATTATCGAGTTAATTTTGATCAAATGTCTCTGAAGAAGAAAATGTCATTTCCGAGAATGTTTTCAATATTAATCTTGTTAATAGTAATTCACTTTACGATCCATTTCCTCAAGAAACAGATGTTTACTATGACAAAGACTTTTATTGTCGAACATGTCAAATGTCTTTCTTTTTCTTCACAAGCACTAGTCTGATTTTATATTTAACTTATTGTAAATTTTGTCATATATCAAAGAAAATCGAAATAGATTTAACTTAAAAAATATTTCAAATTAATTAAACTATACAAAAATAGAATTTATTTTGTATAATATGATTTAAAAGAATGTTCTTCATCAAAATATAATGCAATTTTTTTTCTATACATCAATTAATTCTAATACTTCAAAATTATTAATCATGCAAACTATTATTCTGAATGATACTAATGAAAAAAAAAAAGAAAATATTCAGACAATACTTTTCTTCTAATCCATCATCTAATGACAGTCTTGATTACAAAATTTAGTTTATGATTTAGTTTATTTTAGACCTATTTATATTTCAATAATGAATGTTACAATTTTTTTCTTATCAATAATAAACTATAAATAATACATTTCTAATTAATTGTTATTCTAGAATTTTTAAATAAATCTTATGTAATCAAAAGGAGCTGTGCTCATCATGAAGTTCTTTTCAACTAAGAATCGAGAATCATATAGAAAAAAAATAATAATTTAATGTCATGAAATGAATAAAAATAACTTCTAGGCTTTCTGAAGTTTTTCTTTGAGAAAATATGAATATTAATAGTATATTAATTGTTAATTTTTTCGTATAATATATTCTATATTTGAATCAATAAATATTGACAATCTTACTTTCATTTTCCAAAGATTGAATAATTAAAAATATACACTGAGAGTTTTTCGTACACAAATCTTTTTAATGTATGAAGTTTTTTAGAATATCTATTCTCTAAACATGTATTTTTTAATTTAGTTATTATCAAATTCTTAAACATGCTATACTCTATCTTGATTCAGTTGGTAATTTCAAACATTGAATAAAAAATAATATGATGTTTTAACATCTTTGCGCTTTTTTCGAGAGTGTTACTTTTTTTTTGCACGTTATTCTACTCATGTGTTTATTAAATCATTACTACAGTATGAAAAAAAACTCTCTCTCTCTCTCGAAATCTTTATTAAAAGTTTGTTTGATTTTCTAAAAATAAAACTCTACTGACCTTTCTTTCAGGCATTGTTTTTAAGTAAACAAACTTCTATGTGCAAGAAACACAATCTACTATTTTGATAGATAGTGGTTCTTTGTTTTTTTTGTCTTTATTTTCACTTAAAGAAACCTTCAATAATCTTATTATGTCATCTATAATTAAAGATTCTACAATGAGTGCACTTCTTCAAGTGGTCATACTTCATAATCATGATTAGGAAAATAAAATATAACCTTTTTTTTTGATAAGTAAGATGAACATATTGATAGAATTACAGAAATATCGTACGGTTGAAAAAAGACATATTTTTAAACTATTCGTCTTGGTTTTCTTTAAATTTTCATATCCATAATCAAATCATTATTTTGTTTTCTTTTTATCATACTAAACTTGTCTTATCATTATTTATTATAACATTAAAATAGAAAAAGGAAAGCAAAGCAATCCATTAGTTTTAAAAAAAATAAAAACACAAAACATGTGATAGTACAATAGGATATTTTTTTTTTGAATTGCAGAAAATTACATCTGATTTTTTCTCATTAAATAAAGTCGTATTGGATTTGAGACAGTCATTTTAATTGAATCAAAATCTATTGTTTCATCATGATTATTTTGAAATTTTGTTTTAGTATAACTTTGAATTAATTTCTGACGTAATTTTGCTAACATATCATGATATGCTTGTTCACCATTTTGTTTCCTATATGTTTGACAAGCTGATAATGATTCAATAAAACCAAAAAATTGTCCAAGTGTTGTTTCTGTTCGATTTTCAATTGTATATTGACGTAATGTTGATTGATACGGCAAAAGTGGTACAAGTGATTGATAATAATCATCAGCTAACCAACGTTTTGCATCCCAATATGGAAACAACAAAACATGATGAAATTCATGATAAATAGCATCAGCTATAGGATTATCTAATGTTCCCAATGCATATGTCCATACAGCAAGTACACCTGTTTGTGGTTTAAGTACACGTTTAACTTCTTTAAGAAATACTTCTATATCAAGCCAATGTAAAGTTGTTGCAGTTGTGATTAAATCAACAGAATTTGATTGAAGAAAAGATAAATCTTCAGCTGTCTGACATCGATATTCAATATTGTCTTTCTTTATAGCATAAGCAAGTTGATATGCACTATCATCCAGACCAATAACTCGTTCACAAAATCTTTATGAAGAAAAAAAAGAAAAAAACATTTCCTTCTTTGATTTTTTTTTATTCAAATGAAACAAATAAATAAAATTATGATATTTACGGGCTAAGATCTACTGTTGCTTGACCATTTCCACATCCAACATCGAGTGTCAGTGGAATTTTTTCATCTGTAATTTTTCCATTAAAATAATAATCAATAATATGTTCAAATACTTTTTTTGGATAACCAGATCTATGAAGACGATATTTTACTGTATGTTCCTCGTCGTCAAATATATGATGGCTCATAGTTATTTTTCTTTGTATTCTTATAAGACGACGACAACAACAACGTTGGTGATGTTAGTTTTTTCGTTACTTGTTATTTTGTATTTCTTTTTCTTTTCATTTCTTTTCTTCTGTTTCTTGCGTTTTTTTTGCTTTCTCTTATCACCTTCGTTCTAGTGATGGAAGCAAATAACGTCGATGATATCCTTTTTTTTTTTGCACAAGACAAAGAACAATCAGGAGAGTATTTGAAAAAAAACACATCGAAAACGTTGTCAATAGTAATGAGTAAGAGTCCAGAAATAGTGTTGTCAGGTGCATTTAGTTGCATTTTTTTTTGTCATGATAAAAATATATGTTACAGTAAATATTCAAATTTATTAACAATAAAATTACATTTACATGAGATATGACATATGAGTTATTTTTAACATGAGATTGTTTACATTTAGAAAAAAAAAACAGTGCATACAGGGGGCGTCATTTATTATTATCGAAAATCATGTTTTTTTTTAAATATTTTTATTCAACGTTGAATTAATTTAAGAATTTGTCGATGGTTGTTTTTTTATCTGATTTCAAAACCATAGAAATCATCGAATCTAAGAGAAAAAAGAAAATGAAATGAGCGATTTCATTTTATATTAATGAAACTTTTCATGTGTTAAAGTGAGTTATCATTCTTATTTATTAGAAAATGTCGTTTTTTTTCCTATTCAAGAAAAATTAATAAATGAGATAATAAATCACCAGAGACTAAAATATAACAAAAAAAACACATGAATGATAAAAACGAATTTCATCTACAATCTCATCTTACAACCAAGAAAACAGCATGCCACACAAAAACATCAGTTGAATGAAAATGTTGTCTTTGTCTCGTATGACATATTCAATAATTGAATTCTAAATGTAATCTCTTAAGAAGAAAACAATAGTCGAAAAAAAAAACTATTACCAATATCGAGGGGTTTCCAAGGACTGAGAAATAGGAACTCTTTCACAGTTCCATGATTGTCAAAATAAAAAAAAAAATGTCCGCAATATCTTTTATTCTCGCATTCAATTCATCTAGGATTTGTTAACATGAATAAGTGGGTGTGAAAATTATTATAGAAAAATACATCACTTTGGTTTCACTGAATCACGGAACTAATGGTCTATACTCACATTCTTGAAACATGATCATAACTGTGTTACGAGTTCTTCAACAACTTTGAGGTTTCTATTTCTCAGTTTTTATACATTGCTTTTAATCGCAAATACTAAATTAATCCTTTATAAATATGCATAAAACAAAAGAATAAATCTATGATTATTGACATGTTATATCCTTTATGTTTTACTTATTTCAGCACATCTACTCTTGTGAAATATCTCATTCAAAAGGTTAACATTGTGTGTATCTTCAATGAAAATTTTTCGAGAAATTATTTTGAAATGATTGACATATGTGTTCTTCGATGAAAAAGTCTGTCGAATAGTAAAACCTAATCTTCAATAAAGTGCATCGACTTCAAGATTACTTTAACTAATTCTTTTGCAAATTTTCGACAAATATCTCTTTGAGCTAATGAATCTTGATTCAAAGTCTATGACTCGACCATCGAAACACTTGGTAATGATTTCGGTGTCGGTGATGTCTAATGCCCTTTGAGTACAACGAAGAAGGTACAGACTTGAATATGCTATTAGCAGAAGAAAATTAACCAGTGTAGCTTTAAATAAAGTTAAATTGAAAAGCTATCCTTGTCAGCAACATACTTCTTTTCGTTATATTGACTAGTATAGTAGTTAAGTTTTCGTAAGAAGAACTTCGTTGATCTACATTGATTACTCAATTAGTAGGTCTTATAAAACTATTCTTTTGGAAGAGAAAGATTTGAAGCACAATAATTCATAGTTCATCCGTTATTGATGGAGCATTCAAGATTTGCTTACGCTTTTCTATTATTTTATTGGAGTGAATCGAGGCTATTGCTTAGTGTATTCACTCACAAGGATGGTGAACAGAAGCACACAATTATGTTGCGAAAGATACTATTGATTTTATAACACATTATAAACACTGAATTTGTGTTGTCCAAATCCTTTGATCAGTGTATGCCTACAAATTTTCTACGGAAACGTAATTGCTATGCTATTCAATATGAGAAATAGAAACACATTATCAACAAGTATTTTTTTTTAAATTTAATTTTCTTTTTCACGCTATCAGCTTTTTCTTTTCTTCTGCTAAGTGTAGTAGTCGCAAAAAGTCTCGCTACTGGCTAAAAACATTTCCTAAACGTTAATTCTTTAGATTCGTCGTTTGACTAAAAATAGAATATGTTGAGCTGTAATTGCAAAAACTAATCAGAACTTGATCGATCGTCATCCACAGAAACTAGCAGGTCAACATAGGTTTTTTCTTCAGACCAGAAAATCTCAATATAGAACACAAACCTCATGATGTGAGACAATGATGTATTCTTTGCATAATTCCCAGATGAAAATTGATACGTATCCTCAACAAGTGATCGATTTCTTCGGCTAATTTTATCCAATGAGTACACTGCTGTAATCAAGTTTTTCGTGAAAATTTCACGATCGCAGACATCGATAGAGAAGAGACGCGTGTTGAAATCATCACAAACCATGTAGGGTTCGTTGAAGCTCACGATTACACGCGACTGAAGTCCTTTATTTGTAAAATAATAAAGGTATGCAAATATTTCATTGCCAATAAAACAAAGGAATTTAAAGCTGTAAATCGTTTACATTAAAGTCTATCAACTTCTGGTTACTGCTTGCGATAGGAACTTATCGAGCATTATTCGTAGTCAAAATACCAAGCTAAAGAATTGAAAACTCTGTACTTTTTATTCAATGGCAAAACTTCTCGCAGCTACTCTACAGGATAGACCATAAAAAACCTTATTCCGTTCGGTAATATTCATTTCTGCATCTGATTATTCTTTCAAAAAATACAGCTTTCGAAAAATCTGTCAAACAGAGACATTTTCATTTGAAAAATGTTTCAATACAATGTAAAAGAAAAAGAAAACTTATCAAATATGACATTTGCGTTGAAACAGTATATTCTCACCTAGAAGCAGAAAGAAATCTCTGAATAACAGTTATTTTCCATGTAGCCATAGAGATACTAACATGCTTAGCAAGGAAAATAATTGATTACAAAAAGAATTCAAATTAAGATTTATTAATAATTCAAATATATTATTGTAGCCGATCGAAACATTTGATTTATGGCATATAGTCGAGCGAAATTAAAACGAATTCAAGCATTGAAATAACTAAATTAGTATGGTACATTGCTTTATGCAAAAATATACAATACTACAATTGCACGAGTATTTTAATAAAAGTAGCAAACTAGCAATTATTCACAATAATTTACATATGTACTTTATTTGTGAACGTATAGAAATATAACCTGAAAATTTCACATCATTATACTGTTGTTACAAAAAGATTGAAAAATACTAAGTATATTTTTTGTCTCAAAACGAGGTTCATTATTAATAATTTATCGTTTACAAGAGATGTTGGTTCGAAAGTTGAATATTATCAGTGCACAAAGTACTTCTTACTATAACTTAAAGTTTTTATGACTCACTTGAGTACTTTTGAATCGAAACTTATTTGTGATTAAATGTCATTTAGTAATTACCAGCATTCTACATTACTATCATGTGCTTCGACGGTTGACTGTATTTTTAAGACTTCAATTCAAGAACTTTGAACAAAAATTGATTAGCTTGAAGAAAATTTCTTCGACAATTTTCAAATGAATTAGTTCAATTAAATCTTGAAATCGATGTACTTTATTGAAGATAAGATGTTACTACTCAACAGATTTTTTCATGAAAGAAAACATTTGTTGAATAACATTTCAAAATAATTTCTCACTAAACAATGACTAAAGATACACACAATATTAACTTTTTGAATGAGATACTTTTTAAACATAGCCGTGCTGAGCATAAGTAAAATATAAAGAATTAAAGATGCCAATAATCTTTGATCAACTCAATATTCGAGATTGAAGCTCATTAAGTTTCATTTGTGGTAGAAATGCGAAGGAAAATTATTCTTGGTCAAATAGTTTGTGTCTAACGTCGATAGTATTTTTTTCGACCACTATAGTTTTCCGAGGAATACTAGATATAAAGAATGAGATAACACTTTTTATATACAATCTATATAACTACTGATATGAAACTCAAATTTTTCATTATTATTATTCGTAGTCGTGTTTTCAAAAGTAGATGTATACATTTATTGAAAGTTCGATCAATGATTATTTTGACTGGAATCAGAATATGACGAAAACTTTGAATTTTCATTCAAAAAGAAAATCATTAAACACATATCCTATGATTAATGGCAAGATACAAACATGTTTCATTCAATCCTTGCCTTGAATGTCTTATCAAAAATGTTCTATCGTCTTGAATATTTGAAAATATTAGAAAATAGTCAATGTCTGCAAGAAAAAAAAAATCAATCGCGTTACGTAGTTTTATAAACTATCTTCTAACTGAATATTTATAACATTCAACACATACAACAGAGATGGAACTGATCAATACCGGCTTACTAATAACTAACGAATTTACAAACTAAAGCTTTATTTTATAGTAGATTCACGTAAATGACTAGCTTCTATCATCTATGTCAAAGATCTAAAACGATTTTTTCAAGATGTTCAATATGCAATCTTTCGTTCACAAACAGCAGTACAAAAGAAATATTGATATATTATATTAGATGTCTTTATCAGAGATGGAGCCGGCCTGTTGTTTTGACGAATGGTTGTAGCTCCATCTCTACAATATAAAATGAGATTTTACATAATTAAACATGTTCTGGAATTCTTATTTGTAGCTGTTGATAATTTTTGTGAAGATTTTGTACTTAAAATTCTTGAAAATAAGGCAGATTGTGATTCAGTTTTAATCGATTTTTTTGTTGAATCACTTTTTGAACTTGTTCGAATTGTAGAAAAATGAGTACCATGTTGACAATCATAAAATGATTTTGAATTTATTAATCCCTTTCCATGGAATACTGATGAAAAAGATGATGAATCATGACTAGTACTTGTTGATAATGATAAAGACGATGATGAAGATGATGATGATGATGATGATGATGACGGACAATGATTACTATCACAAGATTTATTAGATGCTGTTTCTTGATGATAATATTTTGTTAACATTTTAGTAGGAGTGGAGTTCGTGCTAAGATGAATATCATTTTCATTTAATGAAATTGCTTCAGTATTTAATTGTGATACTGATAGCGATCGTTCATCAGATGCTGATGTTCCATCATCCAAATTTGGTTGTGTTTTAAAAGAATTTTTAAAATTTCCATGATCTAATTTTGTATCATCTAAAGTCGATTGATCAATAGATGATAAACTATTATTTGATTTTGTTAAATCATTTATTATGCTAATTAGAGGAACTTTATGACCAAGTAAAGATGTTTTGATAGGTTTAACATCATAATTATTTATATATAAACTTGTTGCTTTCAATGAACTTGATGTTGATTGTAATGTTTCATTTATTTTTATCGGTGTGGTATTGATTAATGCATTTTTCATCAAAAATGATAATTCATTAGGATCAGAATTTAATGTAGTATGTAAAGAAGAATTTGTATTTGTTGATGTTTTAAAATGTCCGCCATATTGAAGAGATGTGACTATTGAATTATCATTTGTATTTGTAGAATTAGTCTTAGATGAATAACTATCCATAGCAACGAGATCTTTTATAGATTGAGTTTTTGAAATTGTTTTATCTGAAGAAAAAAAAAAAATTTCTTTGTATATCAAAAAAAACCAAACAAATATATACTTCGAATATCGTTTGCATTTTCAGTTGGTTTCTTTTCAGCAAGTATGACTGTTTGACAACCACCACAAACAACTTTTAATACATTATGTCCTTTAAATTTAATAATAGAACGTGGTTCAAATTCATTTGAATAATTTTCATAACTCAATTTGCCATAGCTACCATCACCGAATACATATATACAACCATTATGACTTAGAATAGCTGTATGAGTTTTACCAGCAGCTATAGCTATAAAAGGTTTTGGTAAATTTTCAAGAATTTTAAAATCTTCAGCAATTGTAACACTACAACCAAGACCAAGTTGACCAAAATCACCTTGTCCTATTAATTAAAAATTTTGATAAATTAATCATTTTTTATATTGATTAAAAATAAACAAAATTCTATCTATTATCAGACATGTTTTACTGTAGTTTATATACTAAAATGAGATGTTATTAATATATGATCTTTGATCGTATATCAACGAAGACCGCGACCGAGAGGAGCAACATTGCTAAGACGTCTGCCGAACGAGTGGTTCCAAATTTCTATATCTATACTTCAGCACTCCTTGTAAATGATGTTTAACAAAATGAAAAAAAAAAGATTTCAAATATGATACCACATGTATAGACTTCTCCTTTGTCTGTTAATACAACAGTATGTTGATTTCCACATGCAACAGCTTTAACAGGATCTGGTAATGGAACTTCGAAGGGGCCAACATGTTGAGCTGGTATTGAACATCCTAATTGCCCATAATGATTATTTCCACATAGAAACAATCTACCACCTTCAGTAATTAATGCTGTATGATAATATCCACATGATCTGAAAGAAAAATTCGTAAATGTTTTTTTTTTTTATGATGGTTTTTTTTTCTTCATTTTGTGAATTTACATAGCAACGACAGGATATTCTAATTTAAGTTCTGTTGGTACTCCTATAATATAATGTTTACGTGCTTGTCCACATTGACCATCTTCATTTAAACCCCAAGCATAAACTACACCATTATTATTTAATACACATGTATGTTCAGCACCCATTGATATTTGTTTCCAAGACATTGTTGAACGAAAATACTTGATTTTAACAGGATAAGGATGAATAGCTATTGATTCTTTTGATTCAATACCTAATTGACCACAATTATTTAAACCAAATGCATACAATGAACCATGATCTGTCGCAACTAATGATGAATCACGACCACATGCAGCTAGTATAACTTTTTCTCCCGTATTAAGAAGTTTTAAACTATTTATACATGAAACTTTTTGTGTCTGATGCATGTGACCAAAACCCAATTGACCTATATTGTTTAAAAGAAAGAAGAAGAAAAAACAACTTCAACAAAAAAAAGTGATGCTTTGATTTTTAGTTACCTGAATTATTATCACCGAAAGAATATGCACGACCACTTTCAGTAACAATAATTGTGTGTCTATCACCCGCAGCCATATGTATAATTGGATCATTTCGAATATAAAATTTTTCTTTTTTAGTTACATATGTTTTACCTAATAGATAAATTGTTGAAACATTACGTTCATTTTCATGATTTTCCATTTTCTTCTACTGTTATTTTTTCAATATGAATAGATGTAAGAAAGATATTTGATTATCTGAAATGACAACCTATAAAAAAAAAAGAAAAAAACGCCAACACAGAAATCTATATTCATACATCAATATTTAATCAATACTAATCGTTATCATAATTGTAAATTTTGTATATGGGTGAATCCGTGGGGTTTCTACCACTTTTTGGAAGAAGGGTGTTCTGTGCCAATGTTCTGAAAGAAAGTTTTTTCCGATTTTAATAGTCTAGTTAGACGGGTCATGATCGAACATGGTCTGAGATAACAATTAAAAACTTTTTGGATATATAAAGTGTGGAGACTCACATCATTTTTTAGGAACACTCCACACATATAAAGAGTGCCCCATAATAACTAATGATAAATTGTTTATCATATTTTTCATATTTTTTATTGGCATAAAGAGCCGAAATTTTTATCACGTATATATCTAATCAAGATCTTTTATTTCTGAAAGTTTCAGCGCTCTAGCTAAAACTAGTGGTCAAATACGTCAATTGTCGTACTCGATTTTTGCAATAGTTTCACAGTAAAAATATGCAAAAATCGAGTACGAAAATTTGTATTTCAGTCTTGACGATGTATTTGACCACTAGTTTTAGCTAGAGAGCTGAAACTTTCAGACATAAAACATCTTGATTAGATATATATGTGATAGGAATTTTAGCTCTCTATGTCAATAAAAAGTATGAGAAATATAATCAAACAATTTATCATCAGTTATTATGGGATACCTTTTATATGCGTGAAGTGTTCCTAGAAAATGATGTGAGTATTCACACTTTGTGTATCCAAAAAGATTTTAATTATTACCTCAGACCGTTTTCGACCTTGACCCGTCTAACTAGACTATGAAAATCGAGAAAAAAAAAATTTTCCAGAAAAGTGATAGAAACCCCACGGATTCACCCATATATAACATTATAATTTCAAATGAAAATATCTCATGGAATATGGAAAAGTATGATTTTCATAACAATATTTTACATGTTAATGATGATAAAATCCATGTAGAATTCTTAAGGAATCAATAATAAGAAAGAAGAGAATATGCATGCTTGTTTTTTTTTTAGTTTATAATAATATCCAGATAAACGAGAAGAAAGCATGACATTTATGTTGAAAATAAGAAACAAAACTGACTCAATGAACATTTTGTTTTAGAAATCTTTTGTTCTTTTTTGATAATCAATACCACGTACATTATTAAATACTAAATGGTTTCTGTTTACGTTAACGATTCATATTTTATTATTCAAAACAGGATAATATTTCTTGATAATAAAGAAACTAGTTATTGTATCTTTCAATTGAATTTTCTCATCCGTATGTATTTAGATATTGTATGAACAGTGTTGCATTCATCTTTGTGAGTTTACGTAGCATTTGGATAAAATGTACTCAATTTAATAAAATTTTATGTACTGTTGCCATAAAGAATTGGAATATATCAAAAGATGTTACTAGCTTATTTATTTTTAAGATTCAATTCATATTATTTCCATGCTTTATATGATCTAAATAATATCGATACCATCGAAAACTAATATTTTATTTTATTTTATACACAATTGAACTTTAGATGAACAATTCTGAATAGAACAGTATCATAATTTATTAGTGCATAAACATTTCTTGACTTCTATGTAACATACACACACACACACACATATTTATCAAAATAATATAAATGAAGAAAGAAAAACGAAACAGAACAAAAAGTAAAACAAAGACATCTATTTTTTTTCCTCCTTCCTAAATACAATTTCCTTTCACTTTTCTAGTTGATTCGAAAGAGAAAAATACTTTCTTCTTTTCTTTTTCTCAATATAAGTATACAAAAAAAAAACCAAAGTAATAATAAAAAGTATTTAAGCACATAGCAAGAATGAAAAAATTCATTTAACTATAAATAGTAAACGGAACGAATTAGTCTCTTTGTCATTTTTTTTTGATTGAACACCGGCTACATATTGAGAAGATATTGATCATACTTGATTTGATATTATGAATAAAGTAGTGTTTTTTTTCCAGCAGATAGAAGTTTTTTAATTTTCATTTATCGATGTACATTTGTCTTTTATATATACTTTTTAAATAAGACTTAAAATCTTATATGTATATTTCTTTTTATAGAGTAACTTGAGCAAGTTCGAGAAATTTCATTAAATCTTTTACAGGTACATTTCGAGCTTGAGCTTTTAAACGTAAATTTCGATCATCTGTTATAAGTACAACTTCACGATGTAACCGAATAGCTCCATCTAAACCAAAAGAAAAAACATATTTTACTTACAAGAGAACATATTCAACTATTAAACACCGATCGAAATCCAAAAAAAAAAAATTTAGAAGTTTTGAACAAACTTTCTTCGAGATATAGACATTTTTCTTTGGACAGTATTTACAATATGTATTATTTATGTGAAAAGTTTCAGATATCTGAAGTTTTACAGGAATCTCCAGAGACAAATTCGAAAGCTTGGTCAAATCTTAATAGCAACCCAAATTCTATTAAAGTTTTTATTGGAACATTATTTGGTATCTATAGATAAAAATCCTTGAAATCAGAAAGGGACATCTAATGAGATTCCCTTGTCAGTGAAACTAGCAAAAACCTACAAGGATTTTTCTTCATAGATGTTCCGTATGGCATTATGACCATTATATGAGTTTTTGGGTTATGATAAGGTATTCAGAAAAACATCAAAAAGAAAAATTTTTCACCTGAATATTGCTCATAAACAGATCTCTTGATCTGTAGAATATCCTGTAAGTTTCAGTTAAATTAGATGGCTCCTTTTCATTATATTAAATATTGAAGACAGAAATGAAATCGATCTACCGTGTCATAAGCTGAAAATCCAATAAATAGTCATAACTATATAAGGAAAGTCTATTGAAGGCTTCTCTATTAGACTTTTTGTAGTGTTCTTAAGTTCTACTTATGAGCTATATATATTACTTCGATCGATGATTAACAGTTTGATATATTGCTTTATTAATCTGATAGAAAAAAAAATTTACCTTTATTTGGTGGAAAAAATTCTCTTGGATTGTCATGACACTAAAAAAGACAAAATTGATATAAAATTAGAAATAACAAAAATAGTTCTATTATACAAAAAAAAAACATACATATTTCAAACAACATCCTAAGATTGTATCATCATTTGATTCCTATAAAAATAAATATTTGAAAATAAAAAAAAAAAAATATTTTTCTGTTGTATTTTTTTGCTTACATTTTTTTTTACTTCATTTCGAAATTGAATAGAATCTAAAACTGTTCCTTCACCAGTCATAGCTTGTACACGTCGTTCTTTACTAGCAAAACATTCTTCAATCATTTTAACAGCTTGTATTGATTGTCGACGAACCATTTCTGCATGTTCATATGAATCATCATCAACAATTGTTGTTACAGATAATTTATCAAGTTCACAAATAACTAAACAAAACAAAAAAGACAAATGGAATTTTTGTTTTTCTTTAATAAAAAAGATTTTTTTTTTTTACTAACCAATTAATGGAATAATTATTATAAATCGACCTTGTTTAATTAATTTATATATAATAGGAAGATAATTAACAAAACAATTTGTATCAAGAACAATAAAACGTGGTATAACTTCAATTTCAATTAATCGTGATGTATTAAGAATATCCTGAAATAAATATAATTTATTCATTTTCTAATCAATTATTTTATTTTCTTACTTTAACAACTTGTTCTTGTTTTTGTTTTTCAGCTAATTGATGTTCAAGTTGTCGTTTTTTACGTTTAAGTTCTTTCATATCAATACCATCAATAATAGAATCTGGTGATGATGGATCAATATTATTCGAATTTGATAATGGTGATATAGGTTCGTTTGTATTATATTCATGATCCAGTGATAAATTCTAAAGAAAAAAAAAAAAGATATATTTTGTTTTTTTTGGTTTTCATTAAAATCGAGACAAAAACAAAACAATATACCTGATTGTCATTTGTTGGACTTTTACTTCGTTCAGAATGTATTGATGATTTCAAAGCTGGATGATAAGTTTTTTGTTGAACATCATATATAAATACTGGTTGTTTAAGACCACATAAATAATCAGCAAAAAAACATAAACGAACAATACGTTTTGAATCTTTAGCTTCATCCTTAACAAATTGAAAATAGAGATAGATTTTATAACTCATAAAAAATTTTTTTTTTGTTTATTATTACAAGTGATGTATCACTTGTTGTTTGTAATGTATCAACTGGTAATGTAAGTAATGGATAAAATCCACTAAGTTCAATATCTTCTTCCAAAATAACTGGTATTGAATCTTAACAAAACAAAAAAATTGAAAATAAATTTGTTTTTTGTTTTATTTTCTACGTTACTTGCTAAATTCGAACCAAGTTGAATATGTGTTCTATCAATAGTTCGAATTAGATTAATAACTTTTGCAAGTGACATTAATATATCTGGATGTGGACCAAATTCAGCTGGTAATTGATCAGGTAATGGTATAAATGAATTAGCATTACATGTCATCCAATCAGTAAAAATTTTTAATGATGGAAATACATGTCGTAACCAACTATTAAATAATGATGTTGAAGTTTCAGAATTAGTTATTGTCGAACGAACTTTTAAATGACGTTCAAGAACAATAGCTGTTTGTTCAGTTAATAAACCAAACATATCAAGTGCTAATTGTAGTGATGATTCTTCATATTGAGAACGAACAACAATATCAACTGAACAAAAATATTAACCAAAAAAAAATAAAAGAATTTATCAAAGAAGTCTCTCCTTTGAGATTGAATCGATATTGATTATTAGTATATCTTATTAAATATTTTAATCTTAGTATCTTATAGAGAATGTGTCATGAAAGTTTATTTGAAAACTGACTTTTTCAAATATCATTATTCATAGATAGAAAATCATAATCGTTTGTTTTTTTTTTTGTTTTTCCTTATAAAAATACCTGATACATTAACTTGTTTTGCAACTTCAATTTGATACATATTAATAGCCATCATTTGTACTAATTGTTGTTTACCAAATACACATGGATCATGACGAAGTAAATATTGGAACTGACGAAGCATTCGTGAACATAATTCTGTATATGTTTCCATTCTATATAAAACAAAGAAAATATTTTTTTTAATCGAAAGAAAATTTTTTTTTCTCAATTATTTTACCCTGTTTTAGTATACAATTTACCATGTAAAGTAATATAATTCAATGTAAACCAATGAATAAGCTATAGAAGAAAAACAAAAAAAATATAATAGAAAAATTTCTTTTTATTCTTTAATTACTTCTTGTTGAGATACACAACCATCGAAATCATTTTGATTATTAGTCGATTGTCCATCATCAAGACTTCGTCCGACAATTGTTCCATCTGTACGTTTCCATATTTCTAATTTTTGATTACCTATTTAATAAAAATAATCATTTTTTTTTGTGTCGTTTTATTGAAAAATAAAAATAGACCTGCTCGAATTTTTCGTTCATTTTTTTTCTCACGTTCTTTAAGTTCTTTTTCAAATGTTTCTAACTAAAATACATTAAAAAGGAAAAAAAAGATTTAACTATTTCAATAAATTCTTAAACATACACGTCGACGAGCTTCTTCAAATAATGAAACAAGATTTTGTTTAACACTATCATTAAGTGATGTTGTTGCAAGTGCTCGAACATAATAATAAATAGCATCTAATCGTCGATGCTATTTTATGTATAGAAGAAAAAAAAAATAATTAATATATTTTAATTCGTGAATTATTTTTTTTCTTACAGTCATAACAGCTAATATTGCTAATTGTTTACATGATTTTCCATTTTTTGGATATAATAATCGAGCACGAAAATAATATCTAAATAATAAAATTTAGTCTTTTTTTTTTTCTTTTCTTTACGTGTAAATTTACTTTCTTGCTTCAGAATAATCAGTACCATTACGATTTGTTTCTTTATATCTTAAATTCGAAAATAAGTCATACATTTTTATTCAATTATTGATTAAATTAGTTTTTTGTTTCATACCGAGCTAAATCACCAAGATTAAGAAAACAATGTTGTGTACAAAGAAGAGCATATTTAGCTACAATTGTATTTGATTCAGGTGAATATGCATTTGGATTGAAATATAATTTTGTATCAATATGAAATGCTGATTCAAGTTGACGAATAAAAGCAAGAAAAAATCGTTCACCCTAAAATATTTTTAAAAAAATTTATAAAACGACAAAAAAAAAGAAAACAACAATGTTCGGTATTAAATCCATTAAAATTTTCAAATTAATCTTGAATAGATGTTATAAAATGAATATTCAATGAAATGATACTGAAAATTTCGAAAGATTTGTGAAATTTTCTCAATTGTGCTGGATTTTGTTTTTCAAGTATCTCAAGGTAAACTCACGTCAGCTAAACATGACCGTATTTTACTCTACCATAAACGATTGTTTGCAGCAATTTACGGTGACAGATACGTAATGATTGACCTGAACAGATTACAGCACCATTGTAGGCTCCCTCGGCGACTCTAATTATTGTTCCGGGAAAAAATACAAAATCCATATCGTTTACGGGGAGATACTGACAAGAAAATCTCCTCAGATGTCTTCTTCTGATTTTAATGGTTTTTTTTAGCCTATTGATGCTACAATGTTCTAATAGAAATTCTAAGAGGATTTGAATTCTTATTGATATATGACTAAGTAAGCTATGGAATTTTTAATATGTCTGTTTTCTGGAAGTTTATAAAATATGTATTTTTTTTTTTGAAAAACTCATATCTCAAAGAGACTTTGTTGAAAACTTCTAAAGTTTTTTTTTTTTGTATAGAAGCTAGTCCAGTTAACTTCTCAATATGAGGAAAAACTTAATTAAGATCAAAATTCAACAAAACAAATTTTTTGAAAGTATAGAGCCTCTAGAGATTAAACATATTGAAAATTCAATAGCTTAATCAAATTTCAATAGAAACCTAAATCCTTTTAAAATTAATGTTAGAACACTATGTAGAATCTATAAATGAAAAATCATTGAAATCACAAGGTATCATCAAACGAGATTCTTTCGTGAATAAAATGAAAGTTCTATACGGACTTCATAAACGATAGCTTTAAGTGTACTTATAAAGCTTGAAATTGAACAATTCAAAAACATGAAAGTTTAATAAATATTCTTGATTAATATTTCTTAAATGCAATTTAAAATAAAGATTATTCAAAGAAGAAAATATTATCTTAATGGTTGTCACATGTTAAAGAAAAAATATGCAAGAACAAATCGTTTATGAGTACGACTTGTATGTAAATCTCATGGGAAAAACCCTCGAAAATTTTTTCTTTGATAAATCAACAAGAAGATTTAGTGTGATAAATATTCCCACTTGAAATAAGACAAAAATCAATTTCAAAAATAATTCTTAATCGATTCTTCTATTCATGAAAAAACAAAAGTGCAAAAGGAAATTGAATATATCAACTTATTATATATAATAATCAAATATATCTTTATCCTTACATCTTCAATAACAGTTTCAATACATTTTTTCACACTATTATTATCAGTTAATTGTTTATCATATTCTCTAAAACATTCAATAACATTATGAAAACATGATTTCCATAATTGTGCATCAAGATTTTTTGATAATGATAATTCAATATCTGTCATCATAGCATGAATATATGCTTGTTGAAGTGTTGTTCTAGAAAAATGAAATAAAAATATTGGTTTTTATTTTTTTTGTTTGAAAAATTATACTTTGCTTCCATCATTCGTCGAAAATTAACATCCATATGTGGTGAATTATTTAAATAAATAGATAAAGATTTTTCTAAATTATGTATTTGTGTTAACCAATAATTAAATGCTTGTTTTCTCATTTGTATAGCTCTACAAAAAAAAATAAAATAAAAAGATTTTTCAGAAAATCTCAATTTTTATTTATATATATATATATATGTTGTTCTTACTGTGCAGCTTGTAAAGAAATATCATTTTGTGTTGAATTTCCACATGTTTGATTCCAAAGTTCATGATTAAAAAATTGACTAAATAAAAACTAAATTATAATTTTGTTCTCAAAAATAAAAAAAAAAAACATATTTCTTTGTTTGATATTATTAATCGATTAGTTTTGATTATTTAAACAAAAGCATGAGCAGCGAGTATGACACAATAGTAGAAAAAAGAGCAAGAGCAATATTTTTTTTTTTTTTAAATTAAAAGATTCTTACGATTGATAACTAGAGAGATAGATACCATGTAGAATAAATTTTTCGTTTAAATAAATAAAAAAAAAAATATTAATTGTTTTTTTTTCTATACGTACTGTTGATAAAATTCTTGCATTTGTTGTTGAGTATTAGTTGATAGAAGTGGTGGTGGTGGTGGTGTTGCTTGTGGCGAAGGATTTGATGCAACTTTAACAGTTGTTAATTGTTGAATAGGTGGTGTTTTTGGTATTGGAGCATTTGGATCATATAGAGTACGTGTTACGTTTGTTAAACCACGACTTGATTGTGTAATAGATTGTGGTTGATTGGAAAGTATTTGTTTTTTAGTATTATTTTGTTGTTGTTTTTTTCGTGTTTGATTATAAAATTGTCTTGATGATGAATCAATATCATTTGTATCATCATGTGATTCTTTAGTATTAAGAAATATTAAACCGGCACGATTTTCAGATGATTTTTGTTCAGTTAATTTTTGATTTTCAAATGTCATACTTTCAATACGTTTATCAAGATCCTGAAAACACAAATAAAAAAAAGATATGAGTGAAAATTTTATGTTATTGTCGTTTTTGACTTACTGATTCTATTTCACTACTACTACTATTATTATTATTATTATTATTATTATTATTATCACTTGCATCTTTTGTATTTGATGGTGCTTCAGTAGTTTTTACTTCAGGTTCAATGGGTTTTCTTTTCGGAGGTTTTCGTTGTGGTTTTTGTTGATAATCATTTTCATAATAAGATGAATCATTATAATAATATTGATTATTATTATTATTATTATTATTATTATTATTATTATTGTAATAAGTATTGGAGGTTTTTGAATTTCCTTAACACATAAAAAAAAAGAAAAGAATTTTTAGATAAGAGAAAAACTTGTAATATGTATATACCAGATGATGGTCTATCATTATTTAATCTTGATGAATATTTTCCTTTCGCAACTGAATATCGTTGAATTTCAGGTTTATTCGAACGACTATTATTTTTATTTGTATTTGAATCAATTTTATTATTTGTTGCCGACATTGAATATTTTGTAGGTTTTTGTTTTAGGAAGATTTATTTAATGTCAACAGGATGATTATAATTGTAACTTAAACAGCTGTTGTCACGCGCAAGCTTTTCTCTAATTGGTTTTTTCTTTCTTCCAATATAAAATCTCTCATTTTCAAGACAGCATTTTGATAGATGTCATTAAATGATTAATAGAATATTGTGTTTTGATGTTTTTCAATGTAATCGATAGAGATCGTTTCTCGAGTAACAACAATCAGAATGGTTTCCGAAAAAAAAAAGGAAAAGAAAATCCGGTTTGGAAAGTATTGCATTTAGAATCAAATGACAACGTTACCGTGGATTAAATATGATAATGGACCCTTGTCTGGTAGTGGAAATCTTACTGATTTACCAGCGAATTGTTTTCCTGTACGAAATCTTTTACGTAGTTCATCATCAAATCGTATGTTTTGATTGATTATGAAAATGAAAAATTTAAATTTTTCTACAAAAAAAAAAAAACAATTGTTTCATTTTTAAGAGCAATGGGTTGTAGCATTACGTGATACAGAACAACGACGTTTTGCTGCTATACTTACAACACTTTCAACACCAACACCATTTGAAACTGAAATTGCTCAAAGAGAAACAAAGAAGAAACAACGATGGTCAGGAAAAGAAAAAATAGTTGAACATTTATTAGATGGATTTTTTATTGTAAGTTAAAATTTATATAGATTAATTTTTTAATTCTATTCGTTATAATGATGCCAACTGATCTCTGAGAATAGATATACGAAAAGCATTTTTAATATTATTTCTTATATTCTAAGCTCATTCGACAGAATCTTTTGCTCTACAAAATTATCAGCTTTGTTTTTTGAATAATTTTGATCTGTCGAAGAAAAATAGAAAAGATTGACAGTTACTCAATCATTGAGCTGTGACTGACAGACAGCAAAATCGCTATCAAAAATATGTTTAAATAACAATGCCGCTAAACTTCGAAATAAGTTGTAAAATATGCCGCGATATTGCTGCATTTCGTGATGCTTTGAAATTTTAGAAAAAAGCATTTGAAAGAACAACTTTTCAAGCAAAAATTAGAAAACAACGCAAGAGCCTCTTTCGACTATCTCTATACTATCGGAGACAAGCTAAAGATTTTCGTTGTTTGGTTTAAATGTTAAATCATTGTATTTAGATTTAAATACTACATCCGATAATATAGTGATAAACTGTTTTTAGTCAACAAGAAATGTTAAATTAAAGACATTTTTGTAGAACGAAAAATTCTGTATTAATTGAGCTTAAAATGATATTGTTGGACAGCGTTTCGGTACTTGAAAAATAAAAAATCAAACTGCTACATCATTTACGCACTATCTGTTACTTCTGGAAACAGATACTGTTGACAAATTTTTACCCTTTGTGTTTTTAATTTGCAATGGCAGACATTTTTCACTTTATCTATTCTTATCAATAGCTGAATATCCTGTGATTAACCATGCATATTAAAGTTTTTAGAAATTATCGAAATTGAGATAGCTTAAAGTCTAATTTTTCATAAATAATATGCTTTTTTATTTGTCAGAGAACTTTTGAAGAGTTTCATGATTTTCTGCTGGAAAAATATATTTTTTTCAGAAAAAACGGAAAGTTTTGTTCGGTATCCTAAAATTTTCAAAGGAGCTTCATGATGGTATGATGGAAAAATATCGAAAATAAAAATATCGAAAACAAAAATAATACAAATGTAGATGGATAGAAATGATGAAAACGAGAGTATATTGAAGTACAAGTCTCCCTCACCCTCAATTCAATTTTACATGCTCATTTTCATCTCATATTCTTGTTTTCGACATTTTTCCTTTCTGCCTTTTTCCATCCATTCGTACCTTGCTCAAGATCGATTTTTGAGGAAGAACCTTAAGCGCGACCATTTTCCGGTATTTCTGAAGAACAGCTCATCAAAAAAAAAATTTGACATTTTTTAGAGTAGATTCAATGATGAAAACTGCTGGCCCCATTTCTTCAATTTCATGAAACAATTGGTTTGAGAAAAAAGTGGAACAATGAAAAACTTTCCTTCATTTAATTTCTTATTGAATTTTGTAATATCTAAAGAAAGTTTTTGAATCTTAAACTGATTCTATTTCTAAGTGTGTAATGTCACATAAAAACAAAAATTACGGTTCACAAAATGAGTGAGATGTTCTTAAACAGTTTTCTAAAAACTTTCCAGATATATTTCAAGATACAAAAACTGTATACTGAATATTCATAATAGCATATAGGAAAAAATTTTTTAATATTTTTTTTTAATTTCAGATGCATCATTGTGCTATTGAAGATCCATCGAATGTTGTCATTTTAAATGTTAATGGATTAGACTTACAAGAAGTGAATATTATTTCATAATATAATTAAATAATAACTTAAATAAATTTAGATTAAAGAAGAAGATTTTTTATTATTTGATAATGTTTTACGTATTGATGCAAATGAAAATCAATTACCATTTCGTATGTATTTTAAAATCAAATAAATTATAACATTTTTATATTCATTATATAGATGGTTTTAAAACATTTCCACAATTAACTCAACTTGATTTATCATTTAATCAAATTAAAAATATTAAACTTAATGTTAATGATTATGAAACACTTGAAGTATAATAAATATTTCTTATTCTATTTTAAGATTTTCTATTATTTTTTTTTAGGAATTAAATCTTTCATATAATAATTTAACAATGCATGATATTGAAACATTAGGAATTTTACCATCATTACGTATACTTCGTGCAAGTGGAAACGATCTTGTTGGATTATCACGTCGATTAGCTAAACCTTTTGTACATACTGATATGTAAGAAAATAAGATTTGTTTTATTTTGTTTTGAAAAAATTTCAATATTAATGCTATTAAATATATTTTAGTATTTTTATATAAATATCAGAGGTATATGTAGTAACAAAAGAAACGATTATAAGATTTATCAATGATTATGCTCTTTGCTTTTTTTTTCTCTATTGATTAAATTAATAATAAAAATTTTTAATTATATTCATTTGTATATGTATTGATTTAGACATGGAAAAGAATATGTGAAAGAACGTTTTCCTCGACTTGAAGAATTATATCTTGATCATAATAAACTTGTTGAAGATGAGCTTTTCATTCATTTATCATGTTTAAAAAAGTATGTTTAATCAAAAAATGAATAGAAATAATTGAAAACAAAATTTTATTTCAAATCGCATAATATATTTTTTTTTTGCAGTCTTAAACGTCTTCATATACAACATAATCAAATTCGTACAATTCCATTTTTAAAAGTTCTACAAGGTCGTCAAGTTGTTCAAGAATATTCAAAAACAGCCATGAAACGAAAACAAATTAGTACTCGTATAAAAAAAATTCTTATTGTTCTTTTTCTATTATTCAATATATTGTTCTTTTAGCTAATCCTCCGATGAATTATTTTCAACATGGTCTCAATTCAGCTGGTGATGAATTGATAAAGAGTACAATATTCGAAGAAGATGAAGAAAATCCTACAAATAATCAAACTAAAAATATTGTCACAGAAGATGAAGATATTGCTTTACCAGCTTTTCCTGAATTACAATATCTTGATATAAGTTCTAATTTGGTAATTAAATAAAAAAGGAGAAAAACCTATATAAATATAATGTAATTTTTTATTATATGAAAAACAAAAGATTGAAGAAGAAGACGATGTGATGGCAGTTGCATCATGGCCTAGTTTAACTGAAATTATTCTTGCTGATAATCCACTTGTTCAACGTCATGTTGGTTTTCCACCTTTAATTGAAAGTTTTCTAATGGATCGACTGGGAATGAAAGTTCATCGGTAAGAAAAAACAAAAGAACTAATTATAAAATTTATTCTTTCTTTTCGTATTAAATAGAGTAAATCCATCTTTAAAATCTGAAAAACAGTTTTATGCTAAGCCGATCAAAAAACATCGTCAAGTACACATTTTTCTTTTACTTTATTAAAAAAAACAGCCATTTGAATTCTTTATACTACTATTAAGGTTACAAGTCGTATAGCTAAAGTTCCAAAAGTACCTATTGATCAATTAATTTCGGGTGCTGTTAAACAATATATTGATTATGTTAAAAATGATACTGATGTTCAATCCGATCAACAATTACTTCCATTATTAACTGGTACAAGTGAACAAAATTCTTCATCAGATGAAGATAAATATAAAACAATTGATACAACTTTAAATGGTACGAATTTTCTTTTAAAATTTTTCTTATTTAATCATTTGGTTTTTATATAGAAGAAGAAAATAAATTTAATAGTAATTCAACAACTGTAGGTCAAAGTCCAAATCAACAAACAGAAAATATATTTATGACTGAAGTATGTCACATTAAATAACGGATGAAGGAGCATAAAAGATCTAATTAGCTCACGAGTATTTTTCTTCACCTAGTCCATTGAATCATACACATCAATGGAAAGAGTATGTTGAAATCAAAATTTCGATACTAGTTTTCATGAAGTTCTGGTCACTGTTCTAATGATTTATTCTTTGATGATGCTTCAATCCCATATATAAGTCATCATTTTATTTAACAATATATAAGTCCGATGTAGCAGTAGACACCCTTAGCATATTTACTATACCTATTATTATCATTAAATATTTTAGTTTAAAAATAGAAATAATCAAAACTAATATGATATTTGGAATCGGCATAGGAAACTTAGTTGGTCTATGCATGATTTATAATAATTCTAGAACTTTTTTTTTGTCGGAAAATTTATCCGTGATCTTCCTTAGGAATTAGATTAAAAAATGAACTCAATAAAAACCTTGCTTTTATTTTCTATATATTTGCCATTTTATCATATAATAACTTTTGAAGTTTCTTAGTAGTTTTCAGATGATCATTTGATGTAACTCATTGTTCATCCACTATAACTTTTTACGCTAACTTCGAATATCATATTAGTTTTAACTCAAATTGAAGTTTTTCTCATCGACATCTTCTAATTATTAATTAAAAAGAAAAAAAAGCGTGCTGAGAAGTTTTTTAACCGACCAGATGTTGTCGACTTTGACAAAATATATGATTTTGTAGCTGGTTAAAAGAACTATCAAAACGAGTAATACTAGCGTTTTGATAATTTCAATTTGTCAACCAAAGCATTTGAAATGACAATTACAGTATGTCATTGAAGCATCATCAAAGAGCTATAAAATTCATAATTTCAATAGTATTTTGTCTTGTCCGCTATTCTAAAATCGAATCCACCCTGATAGAATGACTCGTTAGAATAGGGCTTAAAAATGTGCTGTTTTGTTGTCAGTTTTTTTTTAGTTTAAAATTTGATCGAAATCTCATGAAACGAGTAGCAAAATGTTGATCTGTACATACTCTTTCCATAGATATATATAATTCCATGGAGTTAGCCAAGAACAATACTATTAGGTCAACTTGATCTTTTACGCACTGTTGTTCTTAATTATGAAATTATAAAAAAAAAAAATTCTTTTTTATTTATTAGTTTGAACATGATGATATTTATCAAAATGTCATTCAAATAGAAAGGCCACATCCACCTGAACCCTCAGGTCCATTACAGCCTTCAATGTTGCCTGATGAAAAATTTAAAGGTTTTGAAGTGTTTCTCGATATTGAAAATGAAGAAGATATTACCGTTCCAAAAAGTATATTAAAACAAAGAAATTTCTAAAGATAAATCCCTTTATTATCATTTTCATTTCATAGATGTTATTCATTGTGTACGTGATTTAAAACAAATTTTACGTAATCCATTAGTTATTAGACATGATAATGTTCAAGTCACTCGTCGTCAACGTACGTTTATACCAAAAAGAATGGTAAATAAAATTCTTCTAAACCTTCAATTTATGACTAAAAATATAAATCTCAATCAATAATATATACTACATATCATAATTAATCGAAAAAAAAACAAAATCCGACATAATTATTTCTTAATATTTTCTTATCAACATTAAAGTCATTAGTTAATTCACATTTTTATGATTTGCCGTTGTGTATTACACAGTAAAATTATATTGAGTTGTGATTTAAAAAGTAGATCGTTCCGCTTGACATACAAGTTTATTTATAGAATTTTTTTTGAAGTTATATGACATGACTATAATTTTTTATCGTAAATATACTTTAAATTTTTAAGAGGAATTAATCATTTAGCTTTTATAACGGAAGCATCTGTCGACAAAAAGACAACATAGGAATTAATTTTCTGTCTGATAAATTCCAGACTATAGTAGATATTATTCTTTGAAATTATTATTCCGATATGGATTAAAAATTTTCTCGATGCGTAATTTGTTTTGCTTGTTTTTCTGTTATAAGAATTCTAAGACTTATTTATTCAAACATATTACTCTTTTCTACTCCACCTACTCTAAGATATGATTAGTTTCATATTTCTGATCTAATTTTCTTTTATACTGAATAACATAGTTATAGAAGAAATTTGAGCATTATTATTATTATTATTATTATTATTGTAATTGGAAGAAATTTGTCGAACGATATTTTTCTTCTTTGTTTATAGGAACGTACTTTACCACCGGTCAAATTACCGAATAGACCTAAAGTTGAAGAAATTAATAAATTATTAGATATAATACGTGATCGAGAAACAATTATTGATCAGCCACTTGATAAAGTATTAAATAATAAAAAAGATAAAATAAATCAAAGACGTGCAAAATCACTTGTTACTCAAATTCAACATCATTATGAACAAGTGCGAGGTATATCATTACGTAATGTTCGTACTCCGGGTACCATATTAGATACAGCTATTGAAAGATTACAAAAATTTGATACGAATATTTCGATAAACAAAGAATCATTGCCTTCTCGTTTACCAACTGCCTAAAGTAACTGAAAACCAACAGAATATTGTCATTGATTCTGTCATCTTCTTTTTTTTTTTGTATTTGTTTTACTATGAATAATATTTACTAATAAAAATAAACAACATCAATTATGTATGTTTATAAAAGGAAATTGGCAACAGCATCATAGAAATGATGAAGCGCCACAACATTGAAAAAAAAAAGCTGAATGAAATGACTAATAAAGGAATTTTCGATATTAAATATCACGACATCAAAAACAGAAAAACGTAAATAAATAAATTTATGTATACATATATAACATATTTTAAAATAGAATGTATTTAAGCAAAAGTTGGCGGTGAAGGATTACGACGCATGTTACTTGAATAATAAGCTTTTGATGTTGGATCATTATCTTCACAATCATCTCTTGTTATGTCATCAGTAAGGGACATTGGACCGTCTCCCATAGATCGTGCTGGTTGCTGTAAATCGCTGGATTTATTATTCCTATCATTATCGTTACGATGATGACGATGATGACGTCGACGTGTTGTGCTTTGTACTGATGAATGATTTGTTTTCTGACTTCTCCATGATAAAAAGAAGTTTCTTGTTATTAATTCATAAAATTCTTCACGAAATCGTTTATTTGTTAATATATAAAGAAAAAATGTTGACATGAAATAACATTGTTGTAATAAATCTAAACTTTTTTGTAATATTGATATTGAACATAATTCACCCTCACTTTCATGTTTACTACCTAAACGTCGTTGTAATTGTCCAATATAAACACTATATATATTATGTGGAGTTGTAAATAATATAAATACACAATTTAATGATATAAGTAATATTGATAAATGTAATTCCATTCGACGACGAGATTTTTTTAAACGTTTATTTATTTGATTTAAAAGTGTATATTTTATTGATACATGTCTTAATATAACAATTGTTGCAAGAAGACTTATAAAAACTGGTAAAATATTAAATAAAATCAATTCTATTATAGGTAATATTGATGTTAAATATTTATTGTAAGCTATTGAAAAAGGATTTAATCTTGTTATATTATTTAAATATGGTATTGTACATTCTGTTACATCATTTAAACCATCAGGTGAAGGCACAATGTAACCATAAGATGTAAGCCAATGTGTATTAAGGAGGAAAAGAACGACTGCAAGAAATAATTCAATTAAACATACACGAATAAATGCTTCAGCACAACCATGTTGTCTTCCAGCATTTGAACGACTATTTCGATGAGTACTTGCTGTTTTAGATGTAACTGTACGTATACGATCCAGATCCACAGCTGTTAATGTATATAATGAAAAATGTGTTAAAAAATCGATGGCAAATCGATTTAAAAACCGACAAAAAATAAATAATGGTAAATTATCAAGTGTTAAACCATAATAAACTCCAAGAATAGTAAAACTTGCATGTATCAATGATAATAATGAATTTGATAAACTAAGAAAAGCAAGATATGAGAATGTTGGTCGACGACGTAAACGTGGACGTATAAGTACAGCAAATGAACATAAATTTGCTAGAAAACCAAATATTAATAAAAGCATAGGTTGTGTTTTGAAAATAAATATAAGAAAAGGTGAATAACATCTAGCTTGTTCAAATTCGGATGGATTCATTGATGATTGAGAATGAATTGAAATAAAATTTGTCCAATTAAAAGGCATTATAAAAAAATCTTGATCGATCTATTAATAGACAAAAAAACAAAATATAATTAATGACTTCAGGGAACGAATCTTGGTACAATCCTTAATTAAATTCAATATGTTAAATAACTCAAAGATCAAAAAAATAATGCATCATTTAATCTTAGTTCTAAATTGTAGGAGTTTTTTTTCTTTTGTCAGACGTGACAAACTATGATAACATTATAACATCATTAGAAAAAAAATTGTCTACGACAACTGCAGTCATGAAAATGATCAGTGGAAAATTTATAAAAAGAAAAACAATTAATGATAATGCGATGAACTTTTTTTTCTTTATTTATATTCAAGGTGTCACTAATTAAAAGAATCTAGTGTGACAGTTTTTTTTTTTCTATCATCCTTTAACAATGTAAGAAGGAGTATGTTAAGCTCTACAGGAAATTGTTTATTAAAATATAATAAAAACTTTTTGGGGAAATTACTTTTTTATTGAAAAGAATCCTACAAAAATTAACAGGAAGGATTTTATACGTATTTTTAATGCAGAAAATTTGTTTATTAATTCCATATGCGTAGTTTATGGTAAATGATTCTTTTGTCCTCGAAGTTCATATGAGTTATTTGACGCTCAACATGGAAAATTAAATCGAAAAATATGATTTAAATCATATTCTTCCTTTTGTTTTTGTGTTTTGCATCTTGAAATTACCTTTTTTTTTTTTTGAAGTTCTCAGACAAGAGAAGTATTCAGAATATGCAAAGTTTATTGAAGAATTAAGCAAATTTTCTTCATTAAAAAAAATATTCAATCCTTCTTATTGATTCTAACAGTTTTTATTTTGTAAAATTCATTGTAGACAGTGTTGTTATGACATTTTAATAAACGATTTCCCGTAGCACTAGACGAACTCGGCCTAACTAAATAAAAGTAATACAGAAAAACATCATGCTCCACTTAGCAGATCCTAGAACCTTACAAATATTTAATCTGGTAAGAATATTTAGTAGAGAAAAACACGTCTACATACAAGTAAAGTAAAACAAGGGCACCTGCAGGTTTATTAAAGAAACATCATTAAAGGAAATGTTAGCATATTAAATGAACTATTTACATCTATCGCTATTTTTTTCCTCCAAGGCTGATGACAAGCTTGAAAATAGTCTGTAATAGACAAATAATAATTTAGGTTCTCTTTATATCTTTTAAAAATAAGGTTATGTTGTATTATACTTTTATCGTCTAGTTTCTAGGAGTTAAGAAAAAAGGTCAAAAAATATACTATATTCCTTTGATATATTTTCTAATGAAGTCCTTCATTGTAGTGACAAATCAAATGGATTGAATATAGTCAAGCCAATTTCTTATTCTTGTTTAACATAACGAAAAAATATTTTTACACTTTTCTTTTGTATGCAATGAATACTAATAAGTCTTATATGACTACGTTCACTGAATAGTTAACAACCAACAATAGTTTGTTTACGATTACTTACCTCGTCATTCGTGCAACACATATTTGTAAAAAAAAATCGTATTGTATGGTCTACTTATTTATTTGTGTATGTAGTTGAAAAAAAGAATGTATTGAACGATTAAGTTCTCAAACTTTCAGTTAGAATAAGTTTGTCTGCGCATTTATCATTTAAATGAAACAGATAAGAAGAAAAAAAAAAAAAAGAATAGAAAAAGACGGATAATCTAGCCAAAGACAGATTATCTCATCTCGTTTCATCATCTTCATAGAAAAATATTTCCTGGTGAATATCAAATAAATCGAAACGGATAATATAAGACAGACAAATGAGAAAGTCTAAGAAACAATAAAATTATGTTGAGATATTTATATATCAACATTAACTGTTTGCCTTTCACATTTATCGATAAGCAATCAATCGACAACAGAAAACGTGTGTTACACGAATGACAATCTGTCAATTTCCACTATATTTAATATGCATGTGTCAGCTCGAAAAAAAACTGCTTAATGACAAAAGATCAAGATAAAAGACCGAAAGAATAAAACGGGGAAAAAAGAAAAAAGGATATTTTTTTTTTCTAAGGACTCTCATAAGCATCTTATGCGTTTGTTATTTAGGGGAAAAGAGTGCAGAGAAGGAAAAAGAAAAAAGACAATCACATATATTTGTTACAGATTTGTTTCAAATAAACGAAAAAGAAAATAGATTGCACAAAGAAAATCAGCATAAATACTGAATAAAAAACAACAATACAATACTGATCGACATGTCTATGCGATCCACAATTCACACGATCTCAATATTTATTTAATTTCTTTTTTTATCGTTGAATCATAAAAATCGCCTTACGTTTAGTCAAATAACAAATGATAATTCTCTGTTAATACAAAGATAATTATACAGAAAACACATATAAACATCGTGAGAAAAGTCCATTATTAAAAGGAGCATTTCCTCAATATTTACTCCTCTTGTTTTTTTTCTTAGAGTGCAGAAAAAAAAACCATGTAAGAAATTAATAATCTTATCAAATAAATCATTATATCCGACAGCTTTTTATAATTTATTTTTCGACTATTATATTTTCTCTGCGACCTCTTGGCATAATAATATTGACATCGGAAATTCAAAATAAAACATTTAGTACGATATTTTTTAAAAGTGTTTTGACCTATGACGTTTGTAGATAATTGATTAGTAAAAAAAAATGTTCAACAATTTTTCATGCTTTCTACATGTGTGCATCTGGTTTTTGTTACCAAATGTCAATTATATATCAATGTGATTTGTCAAATATTGTTTATTGTCACTTTCTAATCTAGGATAGAGACATGTTTTCTGTGAATAAATAATCTTTCATTAGTTAAAACATTAAGTGAATTTTTTTATTACATTGAATCATATTTTTACATGTGACAGTTTATTTTATTAGAAAGAAGAAAAAAATAATAATGATACACCGGCATTAGTTTTTGTGGTTTTCCTTCTTTTTTTTTTGATCTTTTATCATTTCAAATATGCACAAATAATAAGAATATTAACTTCGTTTTGTATTACGGCATTCAGGACAATCACAATAAGGAACTCGATTTGGATATGCTGCTCGTTTAGCTCGACATTCATTACAATCACACATAGTTGGATAGCCTTGAGCAGCTAAAGCTCTACATTCAGGACAATCATCAAAAGTTGGTGAAACTTGAGCTTTATGGCGATGACGACGACTGAGGTCAGAGATAAAAAAAAGCATCATTATTCAATCAAAAATATTAGTTAATTAATTATTTACCGTTCACGAACAACAGGTGATGGAGGTGAACGAACACTATTCTCTCCTCTCAATTGATGTCGTGAATGTTTATCAAAACGTTCAACTTTTTCTGAATGTGTTCTTACAGCATCCGATATACGTGGATCAAATTTATCTTGAGATAAATTATATTCTGTTACTTTAATTATATTACCATCAGCACGTGTTCGTTCAACCTCAACAACACTAAAAGAAAAAAGATATATATATATATAACGAATAAAAATAAAGTAGTAGCAAAAAAAAAAGATTAAAAAAAACGTATTTTTGGTTCTTGTTTCTATAATGTTAAGCAATTATCTCGAATTCAGATAGTAATTTCTATAGATAATGAAGTTTTCTTTTTTTAAGATTTCATAGATGAAATATGATGGCAAGATTTCTAAAACATCCGACACGATAGTTTTCAGTTCGTAAATGTCTATTTTTTAACACTGTTATTTTCAAGATCACCCAACGAACGGTGGCTACATTTTCTGAGATTTTACCTTAAACGGTTGAAAGTACCACAAAAATTGAAAGAAGGCATTTTTTTAGTCAATTTTGTTTATTACTTTCATATTTTTAATATTTTTGTGACATTTTTAAGTTTTCAAGGAAAAGTCGTAAAAAACGTGACGATGCTTCATTTATTTCTCTTTAAAATAGCATCGTTAGAAAATAGCTGCAACAAAGCCTCCTGGGATCTAAAAACTACCATGCCCGGTTTATAGAAACCTTGCCAATACAGTTCATGTATGAATTCTTAGTAAAAGAAATCTCCATGGGTTATTAAAATTACTATCTGGATTTAAGTCAATTGCTAAACATTATAGAAGAAAAAAAAATTGATAATACGTTTTTGTTAAACTTTTTCCTAACGCCTTATATTGTATAAATTTCTTACGGATTATCATCATCGACTTCTTCAGTTGCAGCATTTGATTTAAAAAACTTTTTAAAATTATCCCATAAATCTTTTGGAAAATTTTCCAAACGTATTGGAAGATATGTTTCATTATATTGTCGATAAGCATCAACTATTTCATACCTATAATTATCAAATTTTATTTGTATGAAACATTAAAAAAAAAGCAAAAAACCATTTTCACGTTACCATTTGACTGGTTTTGTTGTGTAACTATCATAAAATGATGAACTAACCGTTGGTTTTTTTGCTGTATGAATATTATTCATCACTCGTTTGTTGTTTTTACTTCTTATTTCTGAACCGAAAAAACTAAATGAAATAATAATATCAACATAGTTTTATTTCGCTTTTACTTTCGTACACTTCTACAATACAAATATAACAAACAACAAAAAAAACAAAACGAACTTCAAATGCTATTCATTTTTTTTCTTAAAATGAAATTTCTTTCTTTTGTTTACCTGTTGCTACCATACCTATTAAATAAACATTTCAACGTCGTTTTAGACTTTGCACCAATAATACGAGCCAGACGAACAAAGAATTTCATATTCACTGTCATTGTCCGTCCTAACTCGCACCATCAAACGCAAGTTCATTCAAGAAGCAAAATAGAAATATGTCAATGAAAATAGTTTTTGTGAAAAAGAAAAAAAAATATTACCCTTTTTATATACTCATCAAAAAGGAAAATGAATAGCATATGCACACACACATACGGTTGCCTATCTTTAAGCCAACAGTGATGGTGAGAGATTACGAAATGAGAGAATGATATCTTAAGCCAACAATCATAAGTAATTTTTCGGTTGTATATGAGAAAGTAACGATGAGAACCGTTGTCATATGGAATATAAAACATCAGTAGTGCTATCTAACTTTATCGATTAAATGAAAGAAATCAATGATAAATATTATGTTGTTCACACAATTAAATGTGAGAGAAAGATAGAATACGTACTTTGTACTATTGTCATATCGATTGTGAATTGAAATGATCATGTCATTCTTTTTTTTCTTCATATATATATATATATATCTTTCATTTTCTTTCTCTTCTCTCTCTCCTCCTGTCTCTATTTCACCTTCATCAAGACTCAAATTAGCGTTGGTTAAATTCTTTCTAACCAGTATCGTTTTATATGATGTTTGTTCAAAGATCGACCTCGTCATACCAAGCCTTCAGTCAACAAATAATGGGGAGAAGAAGAAGAAAAAAGGAAAAAAGAAGAGGCTTAAAAGAGTCACCTGTTTGCCTCACACTCGAGATGAAAGACGACTTACCAAGTAAATTAGTTGTGTACGATCATTGCACGTAATAGAGTCTCATCGAATACAACACACACACATATATGCACACATTCATCATTCTCATCAAATAGGAAAAAAAAGAGATACTTGTGCAAATACACATCTATATATATATATATCAACGAGCAAGGTGATTGTATTATCATCATGATGATTGAGGTTTTAAAAGGCTATAAAAATCAATTATCACAATTGAAAGCGAGAAAGACTCTATTTTTCTTTACTTAAGAAGAAGAGAAAAAAAAACGACAAATTTACAATCTTCTTTTTTTTTTTTCTAATGGATGGTCGTGGGTAAAAGAACACGATGCATATAATAAGAACCATAGGTTTGTCTCACATTTGGATTGCGTTTTGCTGTTGCATATAAATTGGTAGTAGGGTTAGTTGTTGTTCCACCATTAGATTGACCATCGAGCATAACAACAGGTGAAGCAGTTGAACGTCTTGTACTTAAAACATGTGCTGAACGTGAACGAGAATAAGAAGTTGGTGGAGGTTTTGGCATTGTTGCTTGTGTTGTTAATGTATTTGTCAATGTTGAATCCATTGTTGGATGAGCAAAAGTATATTTAATTGTTGATGGATTTAATGAAGATGTTGACAGTGTTCGATTTGAAGGTATAACAAAACGAGAATGAGCAGCAGCTGCAGCTGCTGCTGATGTACCAAAACGGGATGGTACAATGGGTGGTTTAGTTGTATTTGTGATTGTTGTCGATGATTGATTTGTATTATTTGTATTATTAGTAGTTGATGTCGTATTAACTGTTGATGAACCATTGATTGTATTCATTGTTGTATTTGCTGGTTGTGAACATTGAAAAGCAATTGTTGTTGGTCGTAGAACTGCCCTCGTTGATGAATTTGAACCATTAGATAAAAGATTTGCTGTTGTTGCACGAAATGGTGTAATTGAAATAGTATCATTAGCACGTGTTGGTGAATGATTGGCTGTCCCTGGCAAAGTAGCTGAACGAGCACGTGCAGTACGTGAATGTCCAGTTATAGGTTGTTCAGTGGAAGAATGATTTGATTGAATTAGATTTGTCGATAACATTGATGTATACGTGGCTGTAGAATCCGACAATGGTCCATAATTAAATGGAATACTACGATAATGATCTGTATCTGGTACCATTGCAGAACGATATGGATATTTTTTTTCTTCTCCATTTTCAAGATTGTGTGATGAGGAAGGTATTGGTGTTGATGATGTTTGAGAATGAGTATTATATAGATTATTCAATGTTGATTGAGTATTTGTTTTAACTGATGTATCTTTAATTGTCCTTTCATCAGGTATATGGACAATAATCACTGGTGGATTTCCGGTAGAATGATTTTCATTCGTTGTATTTATTTCTTCGGAATTCGATGTAGATTTTGATGTTTTACCTCGTATAGCCCAATCGGGTATTCGATTTGTTGTACTAGTTGTCGGTGGTGTTGAATATAAAGTACTACTTAAACGATTGGCATGAATTTTTTGAGCGGCAGCACTGGTTGAATTAAATGGTAAAATTACTTGTGATGAATAAAACGATGGGATAACAGATGTAGGTGTTGTTGCATCTGTATATGCCCATGAACGATATGTATCACAGTTAGAATTACGCATTGTATCATGCAATGGAACTTCATGTACAATAGGAACATCATTAAATGAAACACTTTTACGATGGGATGGATCACGCGGTCGTTTAGCTGATAAAGAGCGATAAGGACCTATACGAGCAGGTAAAGTATTAGACAGTAATTCTTCAGATGTGTTTGCATTTGATTCGCTCTGCGAATTTGTCATATACTGTTCTTTGGACATGGCGAATTTACATTCTCTAATTTAATGAAAATATAGAACTTTTGACATAATATAATTTTTAAAAATAGGTATTAGTTATATGTACTTATGGAAATAAATTGTATAGCGATGTCAAAACTTCTCCTTTTCTTTTTTTTTTCTTGCCGTTACAACAAAAATGGCATCATCTTTTCATTTACACTTGGCTATTCTTCATCTACTATATATGTTTGTCTAAACGAAAACATGAAACGACAATTTTGATATGTGCAAAAAAAAAAAAAGAAAAGGGAATGAGAAAGCGAAAAAAAGAGTGAGAAGTAAGAGTTATAGTAACAAATCGATTTCTTCTTTCTTACTCTATTCTTCTCATTTTTTTTCTCTCTCGTTTTCTATAGGTGCTCGAAGGTGTAAAAAAACGAACAAAACATATTTCGTATTTGCATTTTAAATCATTATCAGTCGTTTGAAAGTCTTTTAAAGAAAACATACATATATACATTCTAATCTGTCTATAATATTTGTTTTTTATGATAAAGTTTATATATGACAAGCAAGTCACATATGCACGTATATATATAAACATGACAAAAAAATAGTAAAGAAAATTTTGAATGATTGAAGTTTACTTTTGAACGTACAGCATCAGACAAACAAGACTTTTTTGACATTATTCTGATTTCTTATTCTTCTGCTTCGATGCTCGTCTCAATTTTTTTTTTTGTAACGGACGATGCCAGTAGCAAACGTCACTTAAACACTATGAGATGATGATGGTGATGAAGAATAGGAAAGAATTGTGTGAGTTTGCGTTCGTTGTTGCCATTACTGTTATTCTTTTTAGAAAAAAAAAATTTTGAATAAAACATACACATACACATAAAAAAAGAGCAAACGACAATGGCGACGACTGCATATAATATAAGTGTGAAAACATTGATTAAATATTAGAAAGAAAGAAAGTGAACCAAAAAAAAAAAACTAACACTAACAATGGCTTATTCTTATTTTGTTTCTTTATTAGTAAAAGAAAACTTCAATTCAATGTCATCATTTGCTGCAAGCGAATGCATTTGAAATAGGACAAGAAATAATCATTTATACAAAAAAGAAAGAAGGATAAATTAAAAAAAGCACATTGTACTGGCAAAATTCGTTTTACTTTGACAAGGACAAAACCATTTCGTTCAATACGTATATAAATAATCGTTGTCATTAATACAATTGATAAATTTTCTTTTCAATAGCATTATTACATCTCTAATTTTTTATTCATAAAACTTTAAATAGATATAAAACTAAATCTATATTCTGCATCATTCGTAAATAAATATTGTCGTTTCATTATTGTGTCTATTTCATCAATTGTCAAGATCTTGATATACACTTAAGATGGTCTATAATTAAAAAGACAATTACAAACTTCTGTGTAAACATAAATATTATGGTGTCTATTTTAGACGCATAATTGCGTAGATCTATAGAAATAAAACATTATTATATTGATATGAGTCTTAGTCTGTATGGATTAGTATAATTCTATTTTAACGGAAGTAAATTTTGTGAGATGTTCGTTTGTTTTTTTTAATGAAACACGATAAGAAATCCGTTTATAAAATTTGATATAAAGATTCAATGAAATAATATATGATTAATTATATTTTTTTTTATTAACTATCTGATCATATTTCAGTAATTGAGTTTTTTTTTAGAAACCGATTTCATGTTTTATATGGCTTATTTATTTCGCTTGTTTTTCCTTAATTTTTATTTGATCATGTTCATATAAGTTATTTTCATACTTTTATTTATTGTAATAAAAGATGAAAAACAAGTAAAATATAAAAGAAACCTGTTATATATTGTAATTTGAAGCTAAGTTTACTATAGAATGTTTTATAAACATCAAATTTGATTTTTCTACCTGAAGAAGCCAAATGAATTGGACAATAATTCAACAACAATCTAAAATTGTTATATCACCTCACGAAAAGAAAACTTAAAATGACATTACACTTTGAAACGCTATAAATGTATTTTTAATCAGCAAATTTTTCGAAAATATGATATTTTATTATTTGAATATTTCTAAATTACATACAATTTCTCACTTGTGAGATATATTGAACAAATTCATGAGATTTTATTCAAACTTTGCGAAGTCAAATTCTTTTTTTTTTTTTTACTATTGTATTCATCACAATCAATTATGAGCTAATCAGACATAAAAAAAAGGGCAAATATTCATCATACAAGCACTTGTTATCGAAACAATAATTTTAATATTGTATGAGAAGCGTGAGATTAGCATTAGTATAAGAACCATGTTAATGCTTTAGGTATTAGTATTAAAACCAACCTGGATTCTTTGCTATTATTTGCATTAGAATTAATTAATGATAATCTGTTAGCATTAAAATTAACATTTTTTTAAAATTTTAATACATATGCTGTCTATGACTCAAATATCTGAAAATCTATGTTTGAAAGTTTCCTATCATAGAAAACAAACTGGTTCATTCTGAGAACTTCTGACCTTAAAGTATCCGAGATTTAGTCATCGGTAATCTATATATTAGAACTTAAAATAATGCTAATTTAATGCTAACAACTGGGCATTATTTAATTCGAATGCAAATAATATCAAACTAATAAGGTTAGTTTTAATATCAAAACATTAGTATTCATAAATGCTAATTCTAATACGACATCCTTATATTGTACTATCATCTAATATGTAAACAGTATCAATCAATTGGTTATAGATATGTATTATTCTCAGCAATTATTTACATTAAATGATCGTTTGATTATACAATCATTCCTTTTTTTGTTTTGGTTTATCTCAAGGTCTATTCATATAATTATTCTGTTAATTTAGAAATTCTATTTAATTTGTATTAAGTTAGCAATAAAAATATGTATTCAATATATTTGATCAATATAGATTAAAGAAAGACTGCAAAAGAACAAAGCTACAATTGCAAATGGTAAATTGATAAAAAAAAATATCGTTTATTTGATGATTATTTTCATAATAATATGAAATGCATGCTGAATAAAAAAAATACTCCCATGACAAATATTCCGACTATCGGCAATGCGATCTTAAATAGCGTACTACTATATTTAGTTCTAGTGTATCTCGCCGTTTCATATCACTAATAATGGCAACAATTTCTTGAGTCTAAATTGAGACGCCTTGGAAAAATTTAATTTTTAATCAAACAAATTATTGTTTACGTCTAAAGAATAATAAAAGTTTACAGTAATCGTGTAAATATTGATGTTTATTATTATCAAGATAACCTTCAAAGGTACAGGTAGAGACATTGAAACAATAATTAATATTTATTATTAGACAGTCAGCCTATGTTACACACGACTATATACTCTCTTTTACTCGGTTACTTTTGCTAGTCTTTATTGTTATAATACAGGTAAGTTTTTGTACGATAAAAAAAAGTGAACTACTACCATCTATGTTTAATAAGTGTGAATGGTGCATATGTGATCATGATTCATTTTTTCTTTTTTTTTTTCTTTTCTTTTTTCCTACACAAGAAACACAAATCGAAGAAGAGTAAAAAGTACGTATAAGTAGGTGAATGAGGTTGGCTGTCGTATTTGTAAGCTAGTCATTTTTTCCTATTTCTTTTCACGTTGTTTTGTTCCTGTTGCATTCTCCTACATTATTATTATTTCATTTGTTTCTTCATCGTATTAAATCCTTTAGGTATGTTTATTGATATACAAAAAAAAAAAAAAAAAATCTTTTTAGCATTTGATAAATAAATTTTTTTTGTATTAATTCAATCATCATTTACATACAAAAAATTTTAATACTATGAGTCATGTAGATTTAATCATTGTTACTACATTTTTATTTGTTGAATGAAGAATGTGTTTATGTAACCAAGTCTTCGTTCTTTTTATTGCTTATTGTGTACTCTTTGTATCGGGCTTTTTTTTCGTTTCTTTTGTTACCGTTATTATCGATAATATGTATTTGAATCCTCAGGGAAATTCTATATTGAATTAGTGAAATGACGTTACTTCGTTCTTTTATCTAAACTATGCATGATTTATTGCTCTAGCTCGTGCAATGATAACATATTGAAATAGAATGATATAAAACAGATAAATCTCAATTAAAATAGAACACTTTCTCCTCGGAAAAAAGTGATTTCTTTTTGGTGCATCTGACTTGCATTTGATACGTTTTCATATACGGCAATTTATATGCAATTATTCCTCTTCCATTACTCTGCTCAATGAGGCGTACAAACAATATTAATATTGACAGTTAATTTATTTTTTTGAAGATGATGGCAATGGAACAAACAGCATTGGTAAATGCAATGGATTCAATTCTTGATCATCGTAGTGATGCTAGTGATGCCAATAGTGTTGACTCGTATGTGTTAAATATTATAAAATTAAAATAAGAAATCTATGAATTTATATTTAATAGAGCATTCAGTATTGAAAATGGAGTTGTTACAACACCAGAACCAAATGAACATTCAACATCAGCTGCAACATTACTTAATGAATTGCAAAGAGTTAAACAAGATCTTAAAAATAAAGATATTGAAATACAACGAGCTCATGAAATACGTGAAAATACAGATAGAGAAATTGAAGATCTTACTGCATCCTTATTTCAAGTAATTTTATCAAAACAAAAAAGAAAAGAAGCAAAAAATTAATTCTTGGTTTTTTTTTTTTCTTCTCTATTAGTCTGCACATTCAATGGTTGAACAAGCTAAATATGCTCAAGCTAATGCTGAACAAAAACTTAAAACTGCAAATCAAACAGTAAATTTACATGTGAAAATCATTCTTTTGTTTTTTTAATTTTCAATAATTTATTTAGATCGATGCACTTGTTGTTGAAAATACTCAATTGAAAAAAAGTGTTAGTGAATTAAAGGAAATTATTAATAATTGTCGTTCATCATTAGTAACAAATCGTTCTGTACCAATAACAACTGTTTTATCATCAACTGAACAACAACAACCACCATCAAGTATTCGTCAAATAGTACGAGAAAAACTTCATAAACGTTCATCATCAGATTTACAACAATCATTATCGTCAATTGATATATCAACTAAAATTGATACTAATGTTGTAAGTTTAATATATCATTTGTTTTTCTTTTATTTTAACACTCATATTATCTTTATCTTATAAAACAAATTATAATACATAGGATGATTGGCCTATGGTAAGAATGCTTTATTTAAGCGCGAACTAAAAAAAAAGCCCATATCTATAGCATGAATATTATTTATTATTTTAATCAGATTTTTATTAAAAACAAAAACTAAGAATTCTTTTATTTTCTTTGTTCAAGGTTGATAATGTTTTGCTACGAGAATTCGCTCGTTGGGAAGAAAAACCATCAATAGGCAAGGATTCATCTGTATTTATGCATCGAGTTTATAGTGAAGATATTTTACCATGTTTAACATTTCCTAATGCTGATGTAAAGAAAATATAATGATATACATTAATTAAAATCATTTTGTTTCTTATTTAAATAGCTTTCATCAAAAATCCTTACAGCTATTGAACACAATGATGTGACTATGGAAACATGTCATATGAGAACAATTGATGAAAATATGAAGTAAGATTAATTTTATTAAGGCTCCACCCTCTTGGGATTCATCAATTTTTGAAACACCATGTCAAAGATGACAGTTTTTTTCCTTATTAAGAATTTACTGCTTGTGGATTGTTTACGGCAACCGTGATTGCTGTATCCGAAGCTGTTATATAAAAATTCCATTGTTTAGGTTTTTTGACCAATTTTAACTAGTGTAGAGAGTTGTGTTTTGCATTAGACAAAACTTAAAATTAGTTTTGGAAAGAGCGTTCAAAAATCATCATAACTAGCATGAAGAATTGCAAAGAGTCCGGTAATTCTCAATATTGGCCATATTCTAAACTTCGATTAGAAATTCAAAGAATTGGGTTATACCTATTCACAAAAATACATATCCAATACTAGACCCGATGGGTTCTACTGCTCTTTGTCTTGCATTTTTCTCAAGCGAAGTTTTTGTGAAAAAAAAGTGCACAAACGCCCCGTTTCTCCAGCATAGTACGTCCAATCGAGCTAAAACTTTTCATATATGCTATACACTATTCAAGATGGATATTTTTCTTTATTGCTGAGTATATTGTTTTGATGAATTTTGGTAGCTCTTAAAACAAAACGCAGTTTTTAGGACACTTTCGATATTTTGTCTGTTTTATTTGAAAGATCAAAAATAAACAGATACTGGTGTCTGAAAAAGGAATTTTCAGCTCCATCGAACATAGTAACTCGGAGAAACCGAGAGAAGCATTTTTAGTATCTAGAAACTTGCAGTCTATGACAAGTTTTGATTTATTCGTCACGATCTATCTATCTTAAAAGTTTCAACTTTTTCTGATGAGTCGTTCTCCACAAATTGCGAAAATAAGAAACCTTCAGAATTTCATCATTAATTTGTTTTTAGAGTTTGTTCATTAACGGGTGATCTTTGTCAGTGTAATTATCGTGTTCGTTTATGTGAAAATGGTGAATGGTATCCAATATCACGTTTATCTCGAAATCGAGTAAATGATATTTATTTTATTTGATTCTTTGTAATGATTATTTTATTAATATAGATTGCTTCTGTTTGTGATTTTTTTACTTTTATTCGTCATGTTCAATCAGGGCTTGTGAAAAGTGATAGTAAGAGAGAAAAAAGAATAATTATAAATAAAATCCTTTTACTTTTTTTTTTTTTATTAATTATTTTCTAGCACGAAATCGTTATAATAAAATAATTGAACTTCGAAAACAAATGGCTTTTGCACGTCTTGGTTTATGATTATGAAATTCATATTTTTTGATTAATCTTCACCAAAGGTTGACCTTGTGCATTTATTGAGTTTTTTTTTATGAAAGGTATTATCTCGTTTGCATTCCATTTATGTTATAGTCTATATTTTCATAAAACGATTAAGTTTTTTTTTTTTCATTTGTTTGATTGATCAGTAGAGAAGAAAAAGGTTTTTTTTTTTGTCTTCCAGCATTTTGTTTGTTTGTTTGTTGCGTTTTGTATATTGTGCTTCTTTTTTTTTGTCTTCTGTATTTATGTTTAAAGCCAAAAAAGAATAAATTAATAGAACAAAAACCAAATTACAACAGAATAAGGAATTTATTTGAATAAATTATTAATATAAAATCAATGAAATATACAAATCAAACAAACACACTTAATAGTCGCAAGAATTTTTAGTGAAAGACTAATCATCCAAAAAGAGAAGCACATAATTAAATGCAGGCTAAAGGATTTTGTTGAAAAAAAAAAGAATTGGAATAGAATATTATTTCTCTCATTTCAAAAAACAAAAAAAAATGAATCATTGGCCGATCAAAAAGCATGTTGACTAGTGCATATATGTCTCCTGATTATTCTGATGATGAAAGATATTCTCTCCATTTGTCTGGTAATTGTAATGATGTTGATGTTGAATATGGTTCATTAATAGATCTTTGAATTCTTTCATCATCATCGTCTATATTTAAATGATGAGCATTTAAACGTTTTCTTTCAAGCATTGCTGTCATAACTTGTTGTTGAATATTATTTAAAGCAATTTGTTTTTCATTATGATCCGAATGTATTGATGTTAATCGTCTCATTTCTGGTCGTACAAATGATGATGTTGTTGTTGTTGCTGTTGTTGTCGTTGTTGATGATTGTCTTGTTGTACATTGTGGACAAAAATTATTATTTGATTGTTCTGTTTGAATTTCCATTAAACAACATAAATGAAAAACATGTCGACAAGCAAATATAATAAATTTATTTTTTTGTTCTTGTTTTTTATCAATATCTTGTTGTTGTTGAAGTAATTTTTGACAATATGTACATTGATTTAAACGTATTGGTACACTACGATTCATAATTGTACACATATGTTTTATATCATCATTTAAATCACGTTGTAATAAACGTCGTGTTGTTTCAAGTAAACATAATTCAAATGAACAATTTTCTAACATGGATTGTATTAATTGACGGATTTCAAATGTACTACGTGTATTTGTATCAGATCTTTTTCGTGTACCTTTTGTTATATCAGCAGCATCTGTACCCATAATAAGTTCAAGTATGGATGGTAATGTAACATAACCAATCATACTGTTTAATATTTCACCATATATACGACGAAATGCACCAGAATGTTCACAATCAAATGATTTCGATGATATTTCTAGAATTTTTTGAAGAAATTTTAACCATAAATCTTCACGTTCTTTTTTATCTTTTAATTTAATTGTTGTACGTTGACAAAAATGAATACAATCTAATGCCATTTGATATAATTGTTCAATTGTTTTCCATTCATGCATTGATTCTAATAAAAGATCAAATGTTTCAGTATATTGACCAAGACGTTCAAGTAAATATGCAATCGATGGTATTAATAATGGTGTTTGATATTTTCGTATTATATCAAGAACATCTTGTTCACGATAATATTCAGATTTATTTTTAAGAAATGATAATAATTGTGATGGTTCATATCGTACAACTAAATCAATATAATGTAAATAATGTGATGGATCAATATGAATTATTGCTGATGATGTTGTAGAAGATGACGAAGATGAAGATTTCGTATCATCTGAATATGCAAAACAACTCTAGAAACAAAAAATAATATACGGATGATTTTGTAGTGTTGAAATATTAAATATTATTCGTTTTATTAAATATGGATGTGAAATTCTTTTGAGAGTTTATCCTAATGATTAAGACGAAATATAGGCTAAAGAAGCCTATGACGTATTCTTTCTCTGTATAACAAAAAATTTTGGTAGGTCTCGCAGAAATAGAAGTTTTTAAGGGTATCTTCGATATTTTGGCTTCTGTGAAACATGATCTAAAAAAAGGACTGTTGAAGTTTATAGAGTAAAGTTTACACTCACCCCAGTTCAATATGATCGACAGACCGTAACAACTATCTTAGGAATACTTTTTTGCGCCATAGACTATTACAGACATTGTTCATATACAATCAAAGATCATACATCAATAATGTCTCTTTATAACATATGAGTTATTTTCTTATTGCATTTCTGAAGGATTAAGTAAATAGATGATGAAGAATTGTATCGCAAAATAGATATACAAAAACAATCGTCCTGTGATTATTAACAACAACTATATTCCATTTCATATTTTACTTCCACAGAAATTGCGCTAATAGCTTTTTTAATTGAAAGAAAAGAAGAGCCGTTTTTTCAGCATTATGATTCCAGTACGTGATAGAAAACAGCTTCCAGAAACTCCGAGTCTATGACAACTTTTACTCGACTCGTCAAGAGATCTATCCGCCCTAAAATTTCAAAATTTTCTGATAGATCGGTCTCAAGAAACGTTCAAAAAGAAAATCTCTTAATGAAAAATTTTTGCATAGCAAGATTTATATCTTTTATTATGTTTCTTACTTTTAAAATTCCATATTGTGCTATTTCATTTTTTCCAATTAATTTTAATACTTTTCCTAAATCCATTTGAAAAAAAATACAAAATAATTTAAATGCTTTAAATGAATCTGTTTCAATTATTTGAATAAAATTCTCCATTATTTTCATATGAAATTTATTACGTTCACGTTCATCAAGTGCTGGCCATAATGTTCTTATATAGTGAAATAATTCTGATCGTCGACGTCGATCATTTAAATAACATTCAAGAATAAGATCATATTCATTTGTTTCAGCATAAATTATTTCACAAACACGCCAAAATTGTGCTTGTCTTGCGAGTTTAATTAAACGTTTAAGATCAAATGCTTGTAAACCAGCTGCTTGAATAACATCAAGTAATGCTTGTTCACGTTCATCTTTACTATCATCACTATCATTCAAAGATGTTACAACTGATTTACAAAGATATTCAAGAACCTAAAGAAAAAGAAAATATTAATACGCGCTCTATGTTGATTGAAATTATTATATTATTATTTTTTCTTATTTGTTTATGTTTATTCTTTATGATTAGTAGAAATGTGAGTCTTCTTATTAGTATTTGAAGGTTAAATAAAATCTTTCAAAAAAAATTCTATGGGTTGTTGTCGAAAAGAAAATAAAAAATCAACGAATAAAAACAAAAAAAATAAAGTAAAACAAAAGAAAAATTTAATAAATGATGTAAGTTTATAAAAATAATTTTTAAACACAAGATTCTATTCAATTATTTTAATCATATAGAAAGAAAAGAAAAAAGTAACAATTAAAACAATTGATCAAGATCAATTTTTTAAAGATAAAAATAATCTTCAACAACAATCAATTAATAATCCTATTGTTAAAAATACAGAACAAGAAATATCTAATTTAGAACATCACATAAAATCACCATCTATTTCATCTTCAAATAATGATTTTGATGATGATTTTATAAATAATATTTCTTCGACAGATAATATTTATTCAATAAAGACATTAAATGATTTACAAATATTTGTTGAACAAAATAAAAAACCTATATCTATTGTTTTTTTCTATGGTCGTTATTGTCCTTATTCAAAACGAACGATATCTGGTCTTCGTCAATGGGCACGAATAAATAAAGATCGTATTGTTTTATATGAAGTTGATGTTGAACAAGCATTAAAACTAACTGAATATTATCATATACAAACAATTCCAACTATTCTAGCATTTAATGAAAATAATCTTCTTGTTCCAATTTGGCAACGAACAGCAACAAATGTTCTATCATCTGATTTACAATTACAAATAAATGAATTTCAATCAATTGAAAATAATGAAAATCTTTCAAATGATAATAATCAATTTAAAGAAATCTTTCGAGAAAAATTAGATAATTCAAATAATGTTTATTTTATTTTTGATCCATTACTTAAAGAATCAAATTGTATGTTTAAAATATTTGAAACATTAAATGAAAATAAACAAGAACAATATTTAATTATTCTTGATAATAAACAATCAATGGAAAATAAATCAAAATTAATATTAGCAATAACAAGTAAAACAAACTCATAGACAAAACTAATGGGCATTTCATAAAGATTCGATTTCACAGTATTTAACCTATTTTTCAACAGTCTTTCATCATCATGGAACAGTTTTTATGAAACACGATCTAAAAGAAAATGTTGAAGGATAAATGTAAAAGCTTAGATTCATTCCCCCCGCTTTCTGTACTGGCCATAACAGACATCTTTCAATTTATCTATCACAGATCGTGTCCGGCGCTAACCGAAGATCATCACAATTCACAACAGGTGCTAGTCAGAGACCATCATAAATCTTGACAGTCGTCGTTGATATACGATCAAACATCGTATATTAATAATGTCTGGTTCTAATACATAATGTGTTTCTCTATTATTATCAACAGCTGCTTTTTTTTTTGATAGATTTCTAGTTCGATTCTCTGCAGATTTATAGTGTTCATTTTTATTTTTTATGAAGCTGTTTAAATTGGGTTTTGTGAATAATTTTTTCAGCTTTCACTCTTCATTATACACGTCTTCAATTAAGTATCAGTCCGAAGCTAACTCTAATGAAGTCTTCAGAAGAATCAAAGACTTAATTCCACTTTTGAACGTTGAGTTTTTGAAAAGTAAACAATAGAAGTATTTCTTCTAAACGCAGAAGACGACCATATGCACGAAGTTTCAAAGAACTTGTCCCAATTTCTATCTTATTTGATTAAGAGCGACAACTGACATAATGATTTACAAAGCCCAATGCAAAACAATCGATATAAAAAAAAAGACTTTTGAAAATAACGTAGTCTAAATATATTCGTTTCATTAGATCTAAATAAATAGGCTATATGTGTCCTATTTAAGCAGAAGATGCACATTGGTAGATAATCGAACGAGAAATTTATCAAAAACGAAATTGTTTCGTTATCTTTAAAGAATACTGAGAGATCCATTCTTTATGAGCCACTTTTTATGATTTTATTTTTTCTTATTCTAAATAAAACTTTTAGATCAAAAAGATCAAACTGAATTTTTGAAAATCATTGATCAATGTTTGTTATTTATCGTTCTCTATTCTACAAAAAAACCTTCTTTCTTCTATTTTACTAGCTAATCCTGATCATAATTCGAAATCAAAATCAATAACATCATCTGAACAAAGTCCATACATTTGGAATAGATCAATTCAAACTAAAGAAAATGATAGTCAACAATCATCAAAACAATCAACAACTGAAAAAATAAATGAATATAATGGACGAATCATATCAAAATCTTCAATAAATACAACATTTACTAATGATCAATTAAAAAGTAAATTTTTATTAAAAAAAAACAATTTTTTCAATATTTCAAATTTATATAGAAAATGAAACATGCAATGAATCTATTGATGATAATATAAAACAAAATTCATTACCATCAGATGAATATCAACAACATATTTATTTACCTAATTCTAATGAAATATTTTATGAAAAACAATATGATAATACAAATGATGTTAATTATTCATCATCATCCGATCGATTTAGTACATTAACTTATCAACATGTTAAAGATACAAATATTGTTTTAAACAATCAACAAGAAGAAATATGTATTTTATATCTAGGACCAAATCGATGTCGAGGTTTCGAAGATAATTTACATAATGAAACTAATTCTTCAAAATTATCACTTTTAACTCTTAAGTCACATTCATTATTGGAATAAGATATATCGAATGAGTTATAAATAACACTACGATACACAGAACAAAATGACGTATCTACATGTTGGGCGATTGTTTGATTAGTATTACAAGCAATTTTATCTGTTATCAAAGAAGAAAAATCTATATGTAGCATTTTACAGATAATTTTCAATTGTCATCGAAGAGTATAGTAAGAAAAAGTCGAACACGAATTTATAAATGATACAAAAATCGTTCAAAAAGTTCTCAGACTGATTTTATTTAACATCATCAACAAGCATTGCTGCATAAGTATTATTATCTATATGTAGTTCTTACACTCATCGATCTATAGACATCATGAGTAGTGATCGATTAAGTATTTATTTTCAGATATAGCAATACTTTTACATTGATAGAAAATTTTACAATTTGAGCATCCTTCAATAATATAATTTCTGGCATTGCAAGATCAATCTGCATCCAATATTTATGGACGTATGATGGTATTTACTACAGTTTCTGAATAAAATTACAGTTTTAAAGAGGGAGAGCAAAATATTGACGAAGATTAAAACAGTTAGGAGCTTATTCATTGACAACCTTCAAATAACAATTTAAAAATAGCGAATACATTTAGCATTTCAAAGATATGGTACATGATGAATTACACATGATTAAAATGTGATTAAAATGACGAGCTCGTTCAAAAACTATAGTGGATGATGGAGCATTATCATTATAATCTACTGTCATACGTTCATAAATATTGGATGGGAATTTACCATCCAAAACACAAAGTTTTCCTCAAATTTTAAAATTTTCTATCAAAATAAAATTGGACATAATTGTTTAGTTGATCAGAGCTCATGATATTCATAAATCGAGGATCTTATGAATTACATACAGACAACAATGCGAATGCATTTGTGCTTCATGCTGTTGTGTTTAAACAAAATCAGTTTCGTAAATTTTTGAAAGACCCTCATATTAAAGGGCAAATTTTCGAACATGGAATACTAGTTTCTCTCGTCGATGCTTACGAGAAAAATCATCGTATTCGAAATAGTATATCCGAGTTTCATCGATTTCTGATGTTTTTCCAGTCGGAATCGACTTATACTTCTTGATCGAAGTTTGCAAGAAAGTTTATGTTTCAGTGTTCTGAGGACTGCGATTGTACGTTTTATTTTATGAAGCACAAGTTTCAGATTTTTAATTGATTAGTTTCAAAAATTTTCTCTCTGTATACCAAATTTAATATTATTCATGACAATTGAAAATTATCTGTAGAATGCTACACATGTATTGTTTTTACTTGATAAAACAAGTAAAAATATTTCTCCTCCTAACCATGAAAATCAGTCCATTCGAGCAAAGCAAAATGAAAGTATTTTATCATAGTAATTTTTATAGTCTACCCTGTAATGTACTCTTACCTGTTCAAATAACATTCCTTGAACAAATATATGTTGTTGTCCAGCTTTAGCTAATTGTCTTGATAGAAAGTTGAATAAAATACTGATTTGATGGGATGAAAATTGTACATCGTCAACCATAACACGTAGTAATATATCACAAAATGCCCGTCGTTTTATTGTATCAATATCATTTAAAAACTCTTTATTATCAAATGCCATTGTTAATAAATTGAAAAAATCTCGAGTATTAAAATGAAGTAATGTTCGTAAATTATTATAAAGTAAACCACCAGTACGGCGTGGATGTAAATAAGACAGAAAATCAACGATTCCATTACGTCCAAAATGTGCCATTTCAGCAGAAAGACGTCCACCAAATGGATAGATTTCACCAACTAATGTTGTTTGAATAAAAACAAGAGCTTGATTACCAATTAAAGTCATTTCTTCACTGAAGCCAGTACCTAAATATTCAATATTTAAGATTTCAATTTGGTTTTCTTTTCTATAAATCAAGATGGAGTTTTCTTATTAAATATGTAAAGATACTAAAATAAATTCGTATTTTGGTAACTATCATCAATATGAAATATTCGATTAAAAAAAAATATATTAAATGTCTTTTCTATCTGTAAATATTTGTCGCCATTAGAAAACCTATCGGTGTATATAAATATGGATCATATTTACAAATTAGAGAAAAACATAAAATAAAAACCAAAAAAGTTTAATATTAAGTAATTTTGAGAACAAGAGAAAGATCACTGAAGTTATAACTTTGTTTTTTAATCTCACTCAAGAAAGTCTTAGCACTAGTTTCTATGAGAATCAGCATTTGTAAAAAAAAATACTGCTTCGAAATACTAATGTTTTGAAATCTGTGGTGCACAAATAAATAGTACCCTTAATAGAGCAAGCTGAGCCCTTTAAAAACTATTTCGCATATTGAGTTTGATAGATTTCAATCGGCATGCAGAGCTAATCAATATCGTGTTCTGTACAACTACTTTTTTCGAAATAATCTGATGATATTTGTACAATATTAGTCCAGAAGGAAATTCTGAATATATAATGGAAAAGCTCGAAAAACGTCTGACTCTAATACACTACTTTTGACTTTAGAACTCATTAGTTCAAATATTTTTCGAATCGGAACCAACCTTATGGACTATAACCAGTTATGTTCAAGTAGCCGAATAACGAGTGAATATTTCGTACGAAGACTTTAACACCGTAGCTTATATATAAAATATTTTAAACTTACCATTATGTTGTGCGAAATCATCTTCCAGCTTTTCAATAATTTCTTTTAAAACTGTTGTAAAATCTTTAAAAGCTTCACTATATATATGTAATAATGTCATATAAAGTCCATATTTTCTTGTTATATGTATAATTTGATCAATATCAAGAGATGATACATCAAGACGATTTAAACATTGTTCTAATTGATTGAAATGCTTATTTTCAATATAATAATTAATAAAATCTTTTAAAACCATTGGTGATATTGTATCAAAACGATTTTTTAATATATAAGGTTCTAAACATTGTAGATAAATTCCATGTGCTATAGAATCTTTTGAAAAAATATCATATATAAGACCAAATAATAAATCCAAACGATCAATTAATAAACAATAATCAATTGAACGTGGTAAAACATTTCGATAATGTTGTTTAAGTAATTCAATACTACCAGATTGTGGACATTCATAATTAAGTGAATATTTTAAATAAGCTTGAAGTAATGAAACCATTCGATCGGATATACATTGACGACGTTTTATTGAATCAATTGGTAAACCTTTTATAGTGATATTAATTTTTGTTTTGATATTAAATTTATTAATCAATTACTTACCAGTTAATCCTTTAGCTTTTCCAACTAACATTGAATAAGCTAGTTCTAATGCTTGGTCATATTGATTTTTACCATTTTCAATATAAAAATCAATACGTTCAGACCAATCACGTAAATGTATTTCATAAAGTGTATGAGTACCAAGTAAAAAAATAAAACCTTGATTTGATATTAATGTTTGATAACAAGCATTTTGTCCTGCTAATGCTAATGCAGATGATACATTACCACCAGTAGCTAATGATTTGAAGAAGATTGTATTATATATAAGTTCACAATGTGATAAAGACAAACATTCTAATTGTTCTTCTGAACGTTGATCACTATATAGAAGTAAAAATAAATATGCTAACTTGCTAGCTTCTTATGAATCTTTATTTTCACTTGAAGTAAAATTTGATAAGAAATAAAAAGGTTCAAGTATATAATATCGTGGGAAAATATTTAACAAATCATGTCATTGATTTTTTCTTTTTAATAATGTTAAGCAATTAGCTTGAATCCATATAGTGATTTAATAGTCAATGAAATATTTCTTTTACTGAGATTTCATAGATAGATCAGAGCTGGACAAAATATTCGAAGTATTCGTACTCCAGTATCAAGCACTCTAACAGATAAAGTCGTTTGTCTGCTACCAAAATATTTCAATCTTGAAATCGATTCAGTGGTGACTTCTAATATCATTGCAACGATTTGTTTCGTAATGTCTATTTATCAAGTTTTCAAGCCATATCCATATCTTCAGGACGATGGCCATGTGTTCGTTGACCCCATAGAGGAGTGCAGAATGACTAGAAAAGTTGATTCAGAGACGTTGCGAAATGAAACTTTGCAACATTTTGAGGGGAGAAAAACTGTCGTATTCGTTTTCATCCTTTTAGATACAATGCGTTGTGTTAAATGTGATACGACGTACCTATTTTCTCCCCTTCAAAGATGAAGTAAATTGCTAATTTCTTCCACTATTGACCTTATGCAAAAGTACAGTCACTTGTCTTTGACAATTATACTGTAACGATATTGAACACATGTTTTGAATAAATGCTACTCGAGAAAGTTCTTAGTTGCTCAGCTCTGAAATGAACTATGATGGTCAAGTTTCTAAAAAATCGGGATCGGTAGTTTTCAGATTTCACAAGAGTTTGTTGAAGCTATTTTTGAACAATACCATCTTAAAGAGAACAGAGCCAGGGGTTGCCACATTGTCTACACCCTTCTCCTAAACAATTGAAAGTATCACAAAAAATAGTCAAAAAAAAGTTTATTAAAAAAATCGACTAAAAAATGCGTTTTTTCGGTTTTGTAATACTTTTAACTTTTTAATGAAAGGCCGTAGGAAACGCATCAAGCCCTCATTTTGTTATCTTGAACATGAGAGTATTTAAAAAAATAGTTTTTTAGGACCTGAAAACTACCATACTATCTTTGTTCATCTATAAAATCTTGATAAAAGAGAATCCCATTGACTATTAAAATTACTATCTGGATTTAGGTTCATTGCTTAATATTATAGAAAAAAAAAACTCAAAAGTACGTTGTCATTAAAATTTTTTCTACCATCTCATACTTCGTCTCTGAGATTCTAATGATTTAAATATGTAGTAATAAGTTAAAAGAAAATTAGTTTACTTAAGAATATGTCTCATAAACGTAAGCATCGTTGTTTGAGCAATTTTTTTCTTTGCAATATATAGAATATGTAAAACATGATGTTACTTCACTAAAAACTAAAATCATCAAGTGACTGTTTTCTCTATTATTCAATGTTTTCAACAAAAATTCTTTGTACAGTTTTCATAAGTACAAAAAGAAAAGTCAGTTGATTTCATATGTTAACTGATAATACAAAATTATATCTCATGATTTATCGAAAATTTCAAAATCTTAAACTAAATTCTTACATAACATGTGCACGTTCAGACATATCAACTAATACAAAAGTTCTTGCATTTAACCAACAAAATGATTTAATATGATAATCAACTGTAATCTGTTTCAATTGTGTTATATGCACTTCATCATCACGTACATGTTGTATCTATGAATAAATAATTATTGTGAAAAAAAAAAATTTCTTTTCAATATTTATAAAAACAAAACATTTATATACCTGAATGAATATACATTGTCTATCTCTGACAGCAGCAAGAATTGGATTAATACAATTAATTTTATCACTAACTTTAACAATAATAAATTGCCATTTAAGTATTGGTAATGTTGTATTACTTCCAGGTAATTGTTGTACACGTAAAATTTTAACATTATTTTGTGATTTTAATGCTAATAAAAAAACTTTTGTAAATGTAGCTAATGCAACTATATACAATGATTTTAATGGATGTTGTTCTAATTTTTCATTTGTATCTGTTGTTAATAAATCTTGTTGATGATAAAATAAAAGTGGTTCAATTGTACATACTTCACCACGACTACCAGAAAAAAGACATTTTGATTGATAACCACGTTTTAAATGACGTGTAAATTGTAATACATATACACTACCACCACTATCACTAAATAAAGCAATGGTTGGATCATGTGTAAATTTAATATGTAATATAGCTGTATCAGGTCCATGTATATCATTACTTATATTACGTAAAAGTTTTCCATTTGAACAATCATACATTTGTATACGTCCACGTGCATAACCAACTAATAAACGTGTTGCATCACTATTAAAATTTAATGCTGATACAGCACCATTTGATAAATCACTATTTAAACAATGTTTTAATGATTGTGTTTGATATTCAAATAAAAGTACAACACTTTTTGTTGTACCTATAGCAACTAAACGATGTAAAAGTATATCAATTGTTGTTGGATGACCATAATTTGTACGTTCAATACAAAGTGATAATTGATTTGATATTGTTTGTAATTCATCAATTTTTAATAATGAACCATGATTTATTTGTTTATGTTTAGGAATTTCAACAAATGATTCATCTGTACTTATAGCATCTTGTTGTTGTTGATGATGAATTTTAAGTATATAATTATCAAGTGGTCTAGTATGAATATCAAGTAAAGAATCAAATGATGCTGATGATGGTTGAGAGGAATGACGATTATTTAAATTGTTAATAGAATTATCATTATCTTGTTGAAGATTTTGATTTTGTATTGATGATGATAATGATAAATTATCAAATGTTGGATCGTGTTCATAAAGTATACTTTCAAGACTAGGAAGTGATGGCAATACTGGAATATCGAATAATTGATCGTCAATAGGTGATGATGTTAAATCAAACTCATCTAATAGTGAATCAACATCTTTGGAGGGAGATGAACTGAAACACGAATAAGAAATATTTAATAAGAAAAAAAGACAGTTGAAGATATCTTACACTGCATGGTTTTCACCAATTAGGTCTGACATTAATTGTATTTCCTAGACATAGAATGTCATTTGGTATCTAGAAAAAATTTGTCGTCTTTGCTATTTAAATGTTCATAGTTCTAAGTCAATCTCTTTATAGTTTTTTCTTTGCAAAAAAATTATATAAAGAAAAGAAAAGTATTTATTGCACAAAATCGAACATATATATCAGGCATAAGATATTGCATGTGTAAGATAAGAAAGTATGAATCATTGCCAATTTTAGAGCAAGAGAAAAAATACATATATATTCACAGGGATAATCAGAATGAAAGTTTCGTATTTTATACAGAAAAAAAAAATTGTTTTGTAAAGTTAATATTGCTTTATTCAGTTTCTTCGCTTGTAATTGTTTCCATTTTAGTTTGACTTTTAATAGCTTCAATTTTTTTATCATGTTCATTGAGTTTTTCCATTAAACGATCTAATTGTTCTTGTCGATCTTAATATAAAATGAAAAAAAAAATGAAACAAAATAATCAACAACAAAATTTAGCTTTACTTGTTTCAGCTGTATTTAATTTTTGATTAATTCTTTCTTGTAATAATTGCCGTTCTTCTTCAAGTTTTGCTAAATTATGTTGAACACTAGCAAGACCTTTTTCAATAGGTGCTTTTGCTTTTTCAACTTTAGCTTGTAATACACGATCACGATTTTCTTTTGCTGATTCAAGTTTTTTTTGTAATTTTTCTTCAGTTTGTTTTTTAAATTCTACAAATATTCAAAAGAAAAACGAGGTGTATTTTCAATTCGATAAAACAAATATTTTCCTACCTTCAGCTTGTTGATCTTTTATTTTACTAACTTCAACTGGACGATTATTTTCTGCTGCAAGTAATGTTGCACGAAGTTGTTCCAAACTAAGACGACGTTCTTCGGCACGTTTTAATTTTTCTGTTATACTTTCTGGTGTTAATGGTGTTGTTAAATCATTTTGATTTCCTTTTGTACTTGGTGAAAGAAAATGTGTTGGTGGATGAATTGTTCCAGTATGTCGTGGTGATTCACCAAGTTTAACTTCAAATGCAAGACCACCTGATGACTCAGCTAAAGTTGCTGATTCTTCGGCATTTGTCAATGTTGTTCCGTTTCGTTTTGGTGCTTGAAAAAAAAAATAATAAGACGATTCATAGGAGCCTTTACACGAGATAAAATAGGAAAACGATTAATGTTAATTTAATTTCTTAGGCATTCTCGATAACAAAATCCAAGACAAAATCTATTACTATTGTCAACTTACTTTCCATTTTGACAGGAAATATTCAAAAATTTTTGGAAAAAAACAGAAATCTACAACAAAACAAGTACGCATATAACATTCAAAATTTTATATCTTCAATAAAAAAAGGATAGCAAATATCATCTTATCTATACATGAAACTTTTCATTTTGTTGTTAGTATTCATAGAACGAAAATAAAAGACAAATACCGGCAATTCGGACTATACACACAAAGAACACATGTTCTAGATTTTTCATATTTAACCAATGGAAATCAACATAACAAATAGAGCATTAATGCATTTAGAGGTTAAACATAAAAGAAAAACCATTCTTTCTTTCTTTCTTTCTCTGCGTTTCTTTTCCGTGTATTGAATATATTCATTTACATTAAACTTAATAAATATGTCAAGTCGTCATTCACGTAATCTTAGTGCTTCACTTTATGTTCGTGGACTTTCTGAAAAAACTCGGTATGTTAACTTAAAACAAAAAAAAAAAGAAGGAAACAGAATCTTTTATTTTCCTTAAAATTAAAATAAATATTTTTCAAAAATGTTCGATCATACTTTCCCTATCGATCATATATGTTGATCTTTTCTTTTTGCTAAGGTGTGTTTCAAACGTGATCCAACAAAAGAAATCACACACACCAAACCTATTCATAATAATCAAGCAAAATCAAGCCAAAAATAATTTTCTGAATTACTTCCCATATCAAATACAATAAGACAGTCTCAGACAAATTTACACATCAGCACCAAATACAATAGACGTATGCATCTTTTTGTTTATTTGAGAAAGAGTTATCCAATGAAAGAAGAAAACTTATCAAATTTATTTTTATTCGATTATTTTTGTTTGTTTTTTTTCTTTGTGAATTCTTATTTATTTAATTTAGTTATGAAGATTTAAAGAAAATTTTTGGTCGATATGGACGTATTGTTGATATAACACTTCCTGTTGATTATTATACAAGAGATGCTAAAGGTAAATGAAGATAATTTAAATTCTATGAAGATAAAAGTTTTTTTTTTGTTAGGTTATGGTTTTGTTGAATATGAAGAAAGTCGTGATGCTGGTAGATAGCAATTCTTTTTTAATTAATAAAGAATTTAAATTTTCATTGTAGAAGAAGCACTTCATGCTCTTGATCGTTATCGTTTACTTGGTCGAGAACTTGAAGTTGAATTTGCAAGAGGCGACCGTAAAAGTAAAATTTTCTATAAAAATTTAATGCTAAGTCTAATGGATAATATTGTTTGTTTTTGTTTTTGAAGCACCATCGGAAATGAGATCAAGAGAAAAAGAAGCACGTTATGGACGTGGTGGTGGTGGTGGTGGTGGTGGAAACTTTGGTCGACGTGATCGATCACGAAGGTAAAGATTTGTGCATACATATATATGTCATCAAATAATTGTAATATTTTAGTCGTGATCGTCGACAACGAAGTGGTTCTCCAATAGCTAGAGATCGTCGTCGAGCTGCTGGTAGTCGATCTCGCTCACCATATTCACGTTCACCTGTACCGCGACGGTAAATGAAAATTTTTGAAATATTGAATTCGTACATGAAAAAGAAAAATTGCCTATGATGATAACAATAGTTGCTACTCTTGATCTATCCAAAAAGATAGAATGACGATACAACTATCCACTAAGATCTCTGAGACGATTATAAAACAATAATATTATTTTCTTTTAATTTGAAATTCTTATTCATATTTGATAAAATTATTTGTATTTATAGACCAGCAAGTCGTTCACGTTCGAAATCTACTTCACCAAACTATGGTAAACGAAATGGTGTTGCTAGTGGAAGTGCTGTTCGTCGTGCAAGTCGTTCAGGATCACCGGCAGATAATTAAATCAATAATTTACTTTAGAAACTACTTCAAAGAAGTTGGTTGTCACTTCTTATTGGTTTTTGTTTTGTTTTTCGTCTAAATATGTGTACGTGCTTATTAGTCAAGGAAAGAAAACCATAAATAGTTGTCTCTGTTGTTGTTTTTTTCTGTGCATGTTTATTCTAATCGGCCTTTTCGTCTTCGTTGTTTTTTTTTTCTTCTTGATGTTTATTGAAACTTGACAGACATTCGCGCAGTTTTTTTTCCTCGCTGTTTTGGTTATTTAAGACATTGGATGAAAACAAATTAATGAAACGAATTTATTGTATATCTTGGTTTGATCATATAATGAATATAGTCGTGATTTACAAAAATAGCTTATATTGAGATTCATTATCTTTATCCCAAATCGAATGGATTTTATTGTATTGTAAAAGAGCATTTTACAATACTTTGATCTCATAAAGGTCAAGAATAGTTTTTGAATGCCGATTTTTTCAGAAAAACGATAAAGGACAACTTGATAAATTTACTAAGGGATATTTTTATGATGCATTAATAATATTTAGATGAGTAGAGATTGTATATAATCTTATTGATTTACTTGAAGCTAATGTCATAGGAGTAATAATTATTTTGAACATGTCATTATGTATTGAATACTATTCTGATATGCTTTTTAGAGGAAAGAAGGAGAAAAGCTTCTAGCACAATTTCAACTGAATCAAACTATGAAACACAATTAGTTTGCATATGATTTGAAGGTAGAAATGTACGAAATTGAAGTGTACCGATCGAAACTGTAGATAATAATTGAGTATTCTACAACTTTTAGCAAATTATCATAGAAATAGTATCAACTGGAAGTTAATTCAAGAGACATGTACGAGAAAAAGTGGTAGTCACCGGCTAAGGAAATAAAAAGACCAAGTATTGAAGAATACTTTTTAGATATGACATGCATAAATTCTGTAATAGTTTTTTCTAGATTAGGAGGTAAAACGTTTCACTTCGCACATATATATCTGCAAAAATATGCTTCAATGAGTTTTGGAAGACGGCCTAAAGACATATCTTAAATTCAATTTTCTTTCCTAATAATTTCACAGAAGGTTTTAGTTCTATACCTAATTAGAGAACTTCAGCTGACTTTTATGATTTCAATGGTTTTTTTTGCCTATGAATAGTACATAATTCTTTAATAATAATCATAAAATGATTTAAATATCTATTGATATTGACTTAGCTGTCAAATTTTCAACATGTTTATTTTCTAAAGACTCTAGGCTTTGCGAAAACTTATATTTTTAAATTTTGATCTAGAACTTTGTGCATATAAAGAACTCAACTAGACTAGCTGTCATAAAATGCATGTTATATACACTATTCATTAAAAAGGATATATATCTAGTGAGCTTCATATCTCGAAAAGATTTTGTTCAAAACTTGTGAGTTCTTTTGTAGAATCTGGCGTAGTTGAGTTCCCTATGTGTGTCAACTTTCAGATCAATATTGAAGAGGTTTTCTTGTAAGCCTGCCATAGACAATGATAGATATGACGTTACTAAAATGCCTGTTAGCGTAGGGAGTAGATTTCTACTTCAATGCTCCTTTTAGATTGTATTTCACAAAAGTAATACTGATATATCGAATTGATCAGTGAGGATGCTGCACGTTAAACAACTTTAATTTAACATTGAAACGCAAATATTTTTCTCAAAATATAAATCTTAATTGTACATTGATTTACCAAGATCTGCAGTAGATTTTTCTTTACATATCATAATTCATTCATTTAATTGTAGAAAGAAGAATTTATTCTTCATGTAAATAAATATACTTATATAAAATTTTAATTTTATTCACAAATACAACGATATTTTAACTCTGTAACACTCTTGATCATCCGTTGATACTACTGTATTTGTTTAACATGAAAGATTTCGAAAAAATTTTTTCCACATTCATTAAAATAAGAATTTTTTACACAGCACATAAAAATATAAGAAAAAGAAACTTAAATATATCGGACATAGACTAACAGTTCATACATAGAGCACCGGCTGAAAGAAGACGCAGCAAAGAAAAACAGAACTACTTATTCATCATTGCGTTCCTGAGCCATATTTAATTTATAAAAGATTCCTCGGTGGTTCATAAGTTCATCATGTGTACCACTTTCCTTAATTCGTCCACGGTCGACAACAACAATTTTGTCTGAATTTCTTATTGTTGCTAAACGGTGTGCAATAGTCAAACATGTCCGACCATTTCGTGCTACATCTAAAGCTTCTTGAACAACTCTTTCACTACGAACATCTAACGCTGATGTTGCTTCATCGAGAAGAAGAATCTTAGGATCGCGTATAAGTGCACGTGCGATAGCAATGCGTTGTTTTTGACCGCCACTTATTTGACTACCTTTCGCACCACACATTGTATCATAACCCTAAAAAGACAAATAGAAATTATTATCTTTATTGTTATTAGTTTTTTTTTCATTAAAATATAACCTCAGGAAATGCAATAATTGAATCATGAATATTAGCTTTTTTTGCTGCTTGTTCAATTTCTGCTTGTGAAACTTTTCTTGTATTATCACCATATGCTATATTATCACGAACACTTAAGTTAAATAAAACGGGTTCTTGTTGAACAAATCCAAGTTGGGATCGTAACCATGGTAAATTTAATCCTCGAATGTCGTGACCATCAAGTAGAACACAACCTTCATATGGATCATAAAATCGAAGGAGAAGTGCAACACACGTACTTTTTCTAGAAATAAAATTATGGGTTAAAATAAAACGAATATGTCTATTTAAGATTTAATATGTACCCTGAACCACTTGGTCCACAAAGTGCTGTTGTTTGACCAGCATTGGCCGATAAATTAAAATCTTTTAAAATACGTAATTTTGGTCGTGATGGATATACAAATTTAACTCGATCGAATTGAACGTTGCCTTCCAATTTTTCCTATTTAATAAAAAGTTTATTGATCTAAGATATGGAATAAATCGTTTAGACAAAATTTTCAATTTTCAATTTATAATTCCATAGTCCATAGCATTTTATGTGCTTTTCACATTCAATAAAATATAAGAGTCAGTTTGGATATTTTTCCGAGTAGAGTATATTTTTTTCCTTAAATTATTATTCATCTAATATCCGAATAATAGATCTTAACTAAAACATGAGATAGTATCGCTTGTGTATTTCCAAATAGTTATACTCCTCTTGCTCGATATCATTCAATACAGATGATATACAGATGAATACAACAAAACTCATCATCGATACTTTCAATGTTGTCAAAATTTTCTTTTATATAATCAAGAGAACGAGTGTTGAACTCCTTGTTTGATCTGCTGTTTATGATGTGTAAATATGTTCCTTCTTCGACACATTTTCATGGAAGATCATTAGGTTGCTTTTTTTTTCGTTTTCCATCCAGTTAAATTTTTATGTCATTTTTATTTTTCATGCATTAAAGTAGTAGCTATCTATAAATGATTGTTCGAAAAAATAAAATTTTTTGTTTTCGTCATAAGATTAACTTTATTCAAAGATATAAATACTCATATAAGTACGAATGCTTTTAAGGTTAGGTTTGTTTTATTTGTAATATTTTATAGAGTTCAACTTTTATATATGAATACTTACTAATACAGTTCCACTTATATCTTGAGGATCAATGTTTGATTGACGATTACTTAAATTTAATATTCTAATAGCACTTTCTTTTCCTTTTGCATAATCAGGTATCATAGCTGTTGATCTACAAAATTTTGATTGTTAATAAAACAAAATTTCTACTAATCTAACTCACCGTCCTACACTCATTGCACCAAAGGTAATTACCGAAAAAACTCTAAAAGAAAAACTTATCTTCTATATCAATAGATTTATTCATTTACCGAAATACAAGAGGAGCTTTCATCTCTCCATTTTCAACTAAAACGCTTCCATATCCAAATGCGGCAGCATGAATAAAAAACATTAATGAATTAGCTAAACCTGTTCCAACCGATTGTAATTGTATTTTAATCATTGATCGTCTATAAGAAAAGAAAATAATTTGCTTTTTTTCTCAGTTTCCTATTAAAAAAAAAAATCTTACTTAAACTCTTTATTAAAACAATCTTCATAATGAGAAATAAAATATTGTTCTTGATGAAGTCCAACAACAGTTCGAATACTATCGATTGCTTCTGTGGCATACTTGAATAGAAAAATAGTTATTTTAAAAATCAATAAAAATAAATAAATTTTTTTACCGTTCCTCCTTTTTCTTCCCAAGATAAACGACCACTTTTTTTTTCTTTCGTTTTCTTTGTATTGCTCATTCGTCTTCCTTGTAAAATACCCGAAAAAACCATTAATGGTACAAATAATAAAACAATAAAAGTTAATTTCCATCCAGCTTGAAAAGCAATTGTTAATGCACATACAACTGCACCTACTGCATTAAAAATAATACCCATTCGAACTCCAGATAGACCCTAAAAGAATAGCTTCTTTTTTTTGACGACTGTGATTAATTAAATATTTTTCAATTACTTTTAAATTTGATGTATCTGATGATAGTTGAGTTACTAAAGCACCAAGACTATTTTCTTCCCTGTCAAACCAAGCTACTTCTTGTCTTAGCATGGATGCAAAAGATATAATACGCATACGCATTGTTAATGCTTCCCCACTTTTAGAAAAAGCGATACTACTTAGACATTGACATAAACCACCACCAATACCAATAAAAAAGATAACTAGTGCATAGTTACGTGTTTGTATATTGGCTTTGCCAACATCTGGTTCAGCAAATAAACTATAAATTTCTGAGAAAAATAATGCAAATAACTAAAATAAAATAAAAAAGCTGTTAGTACAAGGTATACGAGATTAAAATGTGAAACACAATGCATTCTCTAAGTATGTAATAAGGAAATAGGTCATATATTATAACGAGATATTATTGATATAAGGTCTTTGATGGCCTTCTACTAGCGTCTATTACGGTC